GGCACTGAACCGCACCGTCAATCGCTTTGCGCAGACAAGTAGGCAGCACTTTCCACATAGATTTATTCACACACATCTATAAATATACATACCCATCTAAATATTTACTTATATATATATAGACTAGTTTGTAAGAACCAATTATGGCAGCTTTGATCATCAATCAAGGAGCACAGTAGCAGGCGGCAAACGATTGACCTCAAAGGAACCAGACATCGGCGAATCAGTTGGCCTCGAACTAATAGACCAGCAGACTCAAGGACCCAAGGACTCTGGAGTACCGCGCTCGTCCTGTGAGCGTGTGTGTGCAAATTTTTGACAGCTGCCAAACAAACGTTGCACATTAACAGCAATTGCTTTTAAATTGATTGATTTGCCTAGGCGAGGCGATAAGCCGGCCGCCACCAAAGCCCAAGTCCCATCTATCTCGCTCTCTCAGTCTCTCTTTCTCTGTAGATGTGTGGTAGTCGGGTGTGCACATGCAAACATGGGCAGAACGTGCAGGACGTGCAGTCCTGCCACTGACAGAGCAACCTGATTGCATCCCACCCACTGACCACCCATCACCCCTTTGGCAGCGGCACCACTTCGCTCAAGCAGCTCTTGGCAAACAAAATATGATTGCTCGCAATTAGGCGCCACGATTTTGGCAGGCTTCAAAACCCACCGCGGCAGTAACACCCCGCCAATTTCCCAAAAACCCAAAACCCAAACCCCTAGCCCAAAACCCCGAATAACCCAACCATTGGCTCTGCCAGCAGGCGCATTAAATAAGAAATTTTCAAAAATTGCCCCACAACACGCCAAAAACTAATTACCCGCCTGGCCCACGGTTGCACTTTCATCTGCAGTTGAATGCTAATGAGGATGGGACGCGAATGAGGTGCTCCTGATGGTGGTTAAGGTGGTGTTTCTGTTTCGAACTGTCAAAGTCCTGCCACAAAAGCGGCAGAAAAGATAACCCATTGGTTAAACGAGTCAATTTAATCGAACTGTTTTGATTTATCATTCTGGTGCAGTAAGCATTTCCGACATAATTTATGCCTTTTTATTGCAACAAAAAGTGTTTATAAGGGAAAAATAACTTTAACCACTTTGAATTATCTCTTATAACTTATAACTTATAACAGATACACGCTGGTTTTGTAGGATATACTAAAGATAGTATTCCATTTCCGGTTAATAAATGAAGAACTTCGTTGGCATTAACACTGAAGAGGATGCAATCCCTTAATTCTGGCTCAACGCACTTTTAATCAACAAACTGTTGATGCAGCAATGGATCCATTCGGCTCATGAGCCAACGCCCAACGTTGCCACGCCCACAATGTGGGTAACACAATGCAGTAGGGCATCTGAAATTGCCAATTTTACCGTATCGGCAGTTTTGGGAGCAATCAATTTCGATGCAAATGCACTTGTACTTGACGACTCAATGAACGAATGAGGCAAGAGTCTCTGGCAATGGTTAATGGCCAACTGTACAATCTTGGTAATCAACATTATTAAAAGCTTTAAGCTTCAAGTTGAAGCGCAAACTGGAAACATCTTTGGTAATTGTTATTTTTGCCCAGCAGTCCATCTTACTTACTCACCATCTGACTTTAAAATCACCAATTAAAATATATATTTTATCATAATAGGATTAAAGAACCAAAGGAAAAAAAATGTAAAACAATGTCTGCAAATTCATTTTATCCTTATTTATTTTCAATTGTTTATTGCATGACCAGTGAAATATGACCGTCTCTGTCTGGCGGTGAACGTGTACGGGCGTGTTCGTGTGAATTGCATCAAACTTATGCGCATTCATTTCATGCCTCGTCCCATTTAAATCGCGCTTTAACTTAATTTTTATTGTTGTCGTGATTTCCCGCCACCGCCACCGCCATCGCCACACCCTCGCCATCATCGCCATCGTCATCATCTCAACCGCCATCATCCTCGTCAGCATCATCATCCGTGGAATGTGTGGATTGCATTTTTATTTTAATTAAAAAGTCGTCATCACAAAGCGAATCGGCCGAGACCATTCCTCGATTCAAGTGGCCATCGTCCGATGCCAAATGTATTAACGGCTTCATTTTGTTCGATTGTTTGTTTCCCAACTCTTTTGAGATCCGTCCAGTGCGTTAGTCAACGGCCAAAAGCCTTTCCATTCGCATATTGATCAATTAAAGAGCCTTCGGTCTATAAAACCCGCTGGTAATTATAGTTGTCTTTAAGCTGATTACATTAAAAGAATATTAAAAACATATTGCATTTTTAATGGTTTTTATTTAAGGATTTTTAACAGCTCTTTTATTAGAAAGAAAGGTTTTAAAGAGTGGAGTAGTTTCTGATTAATACAGTTAACTTAAGCCTATGTTAACTGAAATAACTCCACTCATGCATTACAGCAGCTCAACTTTCAGCTCAAGTCTAAAATGGCAAACATTTGAACTCACCTTCTCTTAAATCAAGTAAAGAGTTACGGTTCTGAGTCAAAGTTAACATTTGAGTAGCTTTCTCTGGGTTCACTCCGAGTTGAGCTGAAGCAGGGCAAAATACTCAAACTCCGAGTTGAGCTGAAGCAGGACACACCACTCAAACTCCGAGCTGAGTGTTGAAAACTTTCCACTCGACGCATTTTCCATATCATTTCAGAGCCAGCTTGCAGTCTCACTATTTCAGCACCGCCTCATGCAAATATTGGAAAATTATGGCGTTCACACATACGCATACAAAATGGCACAATGCAGTGCATGCGGGAATGCAGGTGAATAAAAAATTGTTGCAATTTGCAATGATTTATGATTTTGATAAATTTTCTTCGGGTGACTTTATTATTTTTCCTAATAGTGATCTATGACAATGTGCTGTGCCATACAAAGGGGAATGTTTGAAAATCAGCGATATAAAAAAATTGTAAAGCTTTCTTTTCAGATTTAAGATGAACTTTAAATTCTGTTCTTTTAATCCCAAATAAATCATTAAAATCCGAAATAAATGATGACATAACTACATACATTTTGTGGCAAGGTCGCTGGTTTTTCATCTTCCTGTATCTCGTATCACCAGGCTGACCATTAAACAGTGTTCCCCGAACGAATTGGGAACAATAATAAATGCATTTTCATGTAATTGCCTTGTCTGATGCCCAAGTGGGTGGCTTGCCAAAAATATCAAAAATTTATTGAGGCAAAAAGTTTGGCACGTCAGCAAAAAATATTCGAGGGCAAATAACAACAACTACAACAATAACAACAGCAACAAAAAACAACAACCACTACATCGCATAAATAATGAAACGTTTGAACTATAACCCAAAAACAAGGAGAACTTCCAAAAAAAACCCCATCACCATCAGAAAAACAAACAAAATTAAAGAATGGCTTTCGAAACTGATGGATAAAATACCCTTTTATTGTATTTATTTAAGATTATAAATATAAAATATAGAAGAAGTTTACTTTTTATGTTAAATAAAAAGAATTTCAGCTTGCTGAATCAAAATTATTATTTTTTGTTTTTTCATTTAGGATATATATCAAAAACAACCAACTCTTTGCAAGGATATACCCAATCAAACTAGAAAACCTGCCTAGTCAGAGGCTAAAATAAAGCCCCGTAAAGTAAAAGAGAAACCAAACTAACAACGCGAAAAACACGCAGAATAACCAACATTGAAAACCAAAAATGCAATAAAGGTAATGGATCTGCTGTCTTTAAATAACACCTTTTTAAAATAATACTTTAAGTCTTACATTAAATTACTAGATTTAACTTAAGTTAATTAAGTTGAACCATTTATTTGCAATCACTAAAAACCATTATAGTTGCGAGAGTTATTCAAAAACGAGCAACATTCGATTGATGGAAAATGTAAGAGGATGATGAATATAAAAACCAAATGATTTTCCGATGGGGTCCTGCCAGGAGTTAAACTGGAATTCGTGGCCCCGTCAGGACATTTGGCATGTCAACATAATTGCCTCGAATTAACTTTCCGTTTTTGCCATCCAAAGCCAGTTTACAAGCTACAGGATTTTTGGGACTGATGTTTGGGACTGGTGCTAGCTGAATCATTTTACATGGGCCAAATAATTTGGCTCGGACAAAGTTTGATTATATTTTTGGGGGCCAAATGCTAGTGCCAGGCGTTGTTTTGTTCTGGTTTCTGGTCGCTTTGTTTGGCCGTTGTTGCCGCGTTGATTTATTCTGCACAATTAAATGCCAACGCAGTTGTCGGCGCTTGCTAATTTAATTAGCGGCTTTCATGGGTCTCCTTTTTGAGAATAGTTTTCCAACATTCTGTCCACCATGGCCATTTGACAGTCCAACATTTTGCTAGGCAAATAAACCATTTATGTAGTGAGTACATTCCAAATTTCTAAAAATGACTTATGTGACTGTTGGTTTGTTCTATAAATTTTTAGTTCATTTTGAATTTTCAGTAGCATTAAAAAAATTTAAAAAATTACACTACTTGCTGATTAAAAACTTCATTTTCAACGAAAGCTCTTCTCTCGATTATTGTAAATAAGATGCAATCTTTTATTATTACGTCACTGTCTTATGGCTGACATTATCGATCGGCTTGCCCTGCTGTCTGGACAACTTTCAATTTTGTGCACTTTAATGAATGAATTTCAATAAGCAGCCATACGGGGCTATATGCATATACCCTGGAGATTTTTTAATAATAAAGCGCCACATACACACAATGCGTTTGCTTATGTCATATACACACACACACACACACACGGGTGCACACCCACAGGCGAAGGATCCAAGGGATCCAAAGGATGCACGCATATAAACCCACACATATTAAGGCCTATCGGACGGCCAACAGACACGACAACGACGTCGGCTCAGCTGCCAGGACTCGTGGGCTGATTAAAACTGATTTATTGCCTTAAATGCAATTTACATAAAAATCAGACAATAAGTTCTGCAGAAAGTGTTGGCAAACGGTACGTTTTTGACTTTGTAAGTTGTAAATATTCGGTGCTTACCCATAAATCAGACATAGTTGTCCTGCAAGTGGACATGGAAATTGCGTATTTAAGTAAAAAAAATTAATATTAATTAAGAGTTTTCTTAAAATTAACTTATTTTTAAGGAGAAAATGAGCAATTATAAAGAGGGTTAGTCATTTTACTTTCGATTGGTATTTTAAACATGAAATTTTCTTTAAGCTTTGTTATACGTCATCTTGAAAAATATTGCATTTCCGTTGTTTTCCAATTGAATATTGATTACTTGTTAAAAACAGCACATACTCTTACTTGCTTCAGTTGAAATGATAATACTTATGTGGAAATTTATAAATAGATTGGAGGCTTTAACCCAGTGTTTTCCCATGTTTAATCGCTGTGTATAAATACCTCATAAAATTCTTATTTTCATTTAGTACATAATCGACTGTTAAACCGCTGAGTTTATTAAGCACAATGGAAGCGCGGTTCTTGGCTTTATTGCTTTTGTTTTTGCTCTTGAAGGAGCAACCCATTGCCCTTGGAGACCCAGTTTCTATATTTTCGCCGAAGTCTTCGAGTCAAGATAGTGAATCGCAGTGCGAAGGATATTGTTTGTCGCTAGTGAAACCCCTTATTGATCGTGTCATATTTCTTAAACAAACAACCGATGTTAGTGGGGAATGGCAAGCCAGATTAAATGTTTTGGCCGAAACTATCAAGGACTTGCAAAGTGAATTATCCTTTGCTGATGTTCAAATCGAAACCAAACAGGAAATTATTAGGTTAATTAACAATCAACTTGAGGAAAACAAGGCAAATTTTAAAATAAAAGACGAACTTATTGAACTGAAAGATAAGGAAATAAAGGACCAAAAGAACGAACTACATCAGATCGACGCCAAAGTGAATAATATGACGGAAACTATTCAGAACCTAAAGAGTCAGTTAACAGCTGCTAATTACCAAAAAATAATCAATGAGGAGCAAATAAATAACAAAAATGAAGAGCTCAAGAAGAACAACGAAGAGTTTAAAATCAAATATGAATTGATAATACTAAAAGACGAGCAAATCAGGAACCAAAACTATCTGCTAAATAACAAAACTGATCTGGTAAATAACATGACGAAAATTATTGAGAAACTGCAGGGACAGCTAACGATTTCAGAGAACCATATAACAATCGACGAAAACAAAATAAATGAATTGAACATTGAAATCCAGAAAAACAATGAAAACTTAAGAATCAAGGAAAATCTAATTGTATTGAAGGATCAACAAATTAAAGACCAAACCGATCTGCTAAATAATATAGACGACGAAGTAAATAATATGACGGAAACTATTAAGAGCCTGCAAAGTCAGTTGACTACTGCTAAGGACCAAATAATAATCGATGAAGATCGAATAAATCAGCAAAATATAGAAATCACGGGAAACAAGGAAAGCTTAAAAACTAAAGAGGATCTTATTTTACTGAGAGACCAAAAAATTAACGACCAAATGGGTCTGCTATTACGTAAGGATGAAGAATTGTTTAATATGACGAAACTGATTAGCAACATGAAAAGTCAGTTAGAACTTTCCGAGGGACAAGTTATAACAAATGAGAAACTAATAAGCGCTAAAAATACTGAAATTAAAGAAAACATTGAAAAGATTAAGCTAAAGGATGATCTTATTTTGTCAAAAGAGGAGCAAATCAAAAAGCAACAGGATCAGCTTAGTATCAAGGAAACTAATCTGAATGAAATTATTAAGAATCTGGAGAGTCAGCTGGCAATGGCTAAGGATCAACTTAAGTTAAATGAAGAGCAAATGCATCAAAAAGATAAAGAAATCAAAGAAAACAGTGACAAAATTAGTTTCAAGGATAATCTTATTATATTAAAAGAGGAGCAAATTGTAAAGCAAAAGGATCAGCTTGACAGAACCGAAAATTTCATAACTGATATTATTAAGAATTTGCAAGGTCAATTACTAACTGCCAAATCTCAAAACAAAGCCAATGAAGAGCTCAGTAAAAAACAAGGATGGTAAGAGTATTGATAGTTCAAAGAGTGGAACTCCCAGCCAAAGCAATGCAACTGAATTACATTTCCAAGAATACGACAGTTGCCCCACTGGTTCAGATGGCTTTTATAAAATTAAAGTACAAGGAATAAAAACCTTCGAAGTTCCCTGCAAGGCCAATGGTTATATGGTTATTCAAAGACGTCAAAATGGCTCCGAGAACTTCAATCGAAACTGGAACGATTATAAGAATGGATTCGGAAACGTGAGGAATGAATTTTTCATCGGTCTAGAAAGGCTACACAGAATGACATCGGCGAAACCACACGAACTTTATATTAATATGACAAATTTCGAAGGGAAAACTTACTATGCTTACTATGATACTATCCAAATTGCCAGTGAAGTCGAAGCATATGCACTAAAAGCCTTAGGAAAATATAATGGAAACGCTGGAGACTCATTGTCATATAACAAGGGAATGATGTTCACGACTCTTGACCGGGACAATGATAACTGGAAAGCAAATTGTGCTCAAAAAGAAAGTGGCGGTTATTGGTACAACGCATGTACTCATAGGTAAGAAATTAATTACAATTTTATTTAAAACCAATTATATTAACAACACAAAATTACAGTTTGCTTAATGGAAAATACTTGGCAAAAGGAGAGAAAAGAAGTGTTGGAACTCCCTCTCTTAGATGGCATGGTACACTTACACTGCTCCATGTTGAAATAATGATAAGGCCAAAATCGAAATGATGCAGCGATAAATAGACTTAAGTTTCTTTTAAATAGTGCGGACATGTAAGCTTAATTAAATGTGAAAACATGCTAACCATTTAGCACTCCAAATCTCTGCATTATTTGACACGATTGCCATTACTTTTAATTATATAGATTAGCTGCACTTCCTTTCTGTTTAACGAATTAATTTTCTAGCAGCTTCCGGGACGGTAACCAGATAGCTTTCCCAAATTTCCATGGGTTGAAGCTGGGACAGCGGGAAAATAAAGTGATGGCTCCTGCGGCTGGCCGCATATGTGGGCCAACTTAGTGGCAATAAGTTAAATTAGCATAAACTTAATTAGCATAAGAGTGCTGGGCCAACTGGGAGACAGATAGAGGCCAGGTGGGTGGAGCAGGTTGCCAGATATGTCCTCTTGTTCACCCCACCCCCTTCACTCTGCATATTTCACAGCAAATCCGCAGCGCATTAAAAGAAAATACGTGGCGAAAAAAAAAGAATACATATATATATATATATGTATAAAATAAAATGCAGAGCAAAACAATGAAAGCAGAAAAAGCGAGCATTTCGAGTCTGGGGATTGTGCCAATGAAGTAACGACCGCACACACAATGTTGCACAGCTCGGAGGTTTTGGATGGCAGCAGCAGTGCGCTAAGTGACTGCTGTTATACATTTAGCCGGGGCTGATGGGATTGCCCTGGCGATATGGCCAGAGATACGTTTACAGTTAGAGCCGAGAGTGCCTGACCCCACCTGCCCACATATATACTGTACTAGTACTCGTACTCGTACTCGTATTTGAACAAATGTACACGATACCCCGACCCATCGCTGCTTAACCATTACCTGGCAATGGTATGCCTGATCCCCAAAGCGTCCAGGAGCGCGACAAGATAAAAGCAGCCATACTAAATCTGGTGTATGTGCGCCACGGGACACAGTGGCCAAGCCATCTACTTCCATTGCAACTTTCATTCTCGCAGTGTTCCTTTGGTACCACGCTGCGTATGAGCAATGCTATACATTAAGTATACGTATTTGTCCTAAAGGATTCAGCAACTGAGCCTCATCATAGTCGCCTACATATGCAAAATAATGCTCCTGGAAATTTTCCACTCTTTGAATTCACTTAGAGCAAAGTGCATATGCATTTCATTCTGATTTGCCTTACAAACTCATATTTATTGTCTGCGATAACTGTTGCCAAGGAGATATATTTTAGATTTGTACTTTAGCTCTATGTAAGCCGTATATACATGATTAAGACTCCAATAAAGTGATGACCTATATTAATTATTAATATTTATTTATAATTAATAATTCTTTTCATAATTAAGAAATGGTAACGAGTGGAGCTCTTGAAATTATCGATATATCTTTGAAATTGCAATACATTTTATAGCCGCATAAAGTCCGATGGTCGTTATTAATGCAGCCATTATTTCACTTTTTTTTTAAATATATATTTCTCCTTATCGGAGGCAGGCCTGAAAGGGGGCCAAGTTAATTTCAGAGAACACTTTACGTGCTGCAATTTGGAGCGTTTCAGTTGCATTCGGACCCTGGCCAGCAGCACATTTGGTAAGCAATAAATTGACCAAGCAGCCAACGCCATCATCTACTTTAAAAGCATTTGTTGCCGCACAGGCCACCCAAAACCATCCGCTCCACCCCCCAATCAGCAGCACTTTCAGCAATCCTCCGCTTTTTGACCTCTCCCCCTCTACTTACCAAAAACCAATCCCCTCCCCCAGTTGGCAGCCTGCAATACTCGAAGCGGCGACGTCGCTAAAAAGATACCGGAAATGTTACAGGAAACAAAATGACTTAATGGCCGCGATTGCAACGGCATGGAATCGTTTCAGGCATCGTTCTGATCCTGGTCGTTCCTTTTTCCTCCTTGCTCCTTGGTCCATGGCCCGCTGGCATTCATGGCAGTTGCCGAGGTCAGCAAAAAAGCATAAAGGGAATCTTATGTCACAGCCATGTGCGGAATACTCTTTCGCAGAGCAACTTGAAGTTATATTTATATTGAGCACAGGTTTCTTATGGGCAACTAAATACCTGGAATTATCACATTTACCAAGTTCATTTAGTCTTTTCAAAAGTGGCATATTGTATATCATATATACATGATTTTCGCCTTTAAATACGTTCAATTGATAAAACCCTCCGACTCACATAAAACTGCATTCGTAAAGCAGAATCTTTCCGGCTTTTCAATCGGCCTGATGATGAGCCACCAAAGGCAAGGTACTGCCCATCCAACTCGACCTCCTTCTATAGACTGTAATTGCAATTGCCGCATCATTATCATAAGCTAAACGGTACTGCATGCTATTGAAACGGTTTTGCGGTTTGAATTTCTTTTGAAGCTGAAACATATTTCTAATTAAATTAATTAGGCGAAGCGAGAATATGGCAAGTATGCAAGCCAATTAGTGGAAAATGCAAAATTAAATGTCTGTGCATTTGGTGGTAGAAAGGGGGATAGATGGGGCAAGAGCGCACGGAGAAAGACAGAAGACTGTGGGTGTCGCACAGCCAACTCATTGTCCTTGCCCCTCCTTTGGCCACCTCGTCCTGCAGAGCTCTTTGTTGGCCACTCCGGCAATAATTGCGTTGAGACATGTAAGCTTTTGTTTTGCAGTTATGCGTGTGGCTGTGCGACAAAGTTAATGACAGCATAATTAAACAAAACTAACAGCAGACTAATAAAATGTTCATAGTGCATGTCGCTCAAGGCCTCGCCACATCGTCACCACCCACAACCCACTTCCTTATTCCACTCTCCCTCTTTTTATATATATCTACCTTCCGAGGATTTCAGGTCGGTGTGTGTGTCAACGTTTGTCAAGCGACAATTAAAGTCATAATAAAGGCAAGCTGAAGACAATCATTATAGTTGGAACATGGTACCCATTCCCCCGAAATGGCCCACACATCCTTCCACTTCTCTCTTTTCGGTTAGTTATGCATAAAGTTCGCCACAAAAGGGTTTAACCTGAGCGTAAACATACCGTTGACGGCCCACTCGTCCTTTGTTGTGCAGCCATATAAATTTCAAAATTAAAGCAAAGTTTAACCTTTGTCCTTGTGCAAATGCGGAGGAGGGAATATTTATATATCCACGTTTGTTTGACTGTTCATTATGGGAATGTGTGCAAGGCCCGCATAAGGCACGCTTTAATTTAAAGGCCTTCTAAGTTGACCTTTTTGAATCTCATCTTTTAAACCGCGAGAATCCATTGCAAAATCACGAATGCCTAAAATGGGAAACTATTTATATTTAATGTTTTAAAAGGCAAAAAGTATCTTTACTAAAAATAAATTTTGTGATGGTTAATATTTTTTATACACTTTTAAAACCTATATTTGATTTGCCCTTATCTTGCTACTTTGTTATACGTTCTAGTTGCATTTAATTTTCTAATTTCCCCAAGCTAATGTAACACGTTTTCTTTCAAGAATTGTGCTAATAGCTTTCTTTGATAAGTTATCCAACCAGTACGAAAAGCGGCTGATTAAATATTAACTAATATTAACCAATATTGAACTAGTCGGCCAATGTATTTACCCAAGCGCACGTAGCTGAGATATATAAAAGGGCTAACGGGGTAGAGAGTTGATTAGGCTAACAGTCGACCCACGATGCATTCGACTAAGTCAGCGCTGCTCCTGCTCGCTCTGGCCATCAGCGCCAGCTGTGTGGTGGCCACACCGCATCCTGAACTAGAGCTATTGGATGGTATCATTGAGGCCATCAACAAGACCGGCCAGGGTATCATAAGTGGATTTGTGAATGCCACCCAGAATGGAACGGCCATAGCCGAGGAGTTCCTGGACAAGCTGAAGAACTCGACTGCCCAGTATACCCATGAAACATTGGAGTATGCTCAGAAAATCGCTGATGCCATTCACCAGGCCGCCGCCGAGGGAATTACGGATTTCTCCGCCGCTTTACGGTCAGCCATCGCTGAGCTTCATAGCCAGATCGATCGAATCAGAAACGTATTACAGCGAAAGGCCTTGAAAGATGCGTTGGCCAAACTCCAGGAGATAGATGCAGCCACTACGGATCTTGAGACTGCTGTAAAGAACCTCAATGATCGGCTGAACGAAAAGAAGCAACAGTATTCCGCCGAAATTCAAGAAAAGTGGAGCAACTGGGCTGCCGCTCAATTGGAGCGAGTAGATCAGCAGACCAATGGCGTTGGCAACGAGGAGGCCGAAGAGATCTTAGATGAGTTGGTTAGCCGATATTCCGGATATTTGCACAGCTGCCTGGAGGAGTTGCAGGTGCGACAGGCCACGTATGAGCAAAATGTCCAGCAAGCCATTGCCAAGTACCACAATGCCACCAACAATCTTACCGCTCAAGTTGAGCTCTGTGTCAAGTCCAATTTAAACTACATCTCCTGTCGCAATGGCATCGATAAGGCTCTGCAAGGACTCGCCTCCGCTCCCGAGGATCTACTGAGATTGAGGGTCCAGGGTATCCAACTTTTGGCCGCTGGCCTGGATGCTAGCGGATGTGTGGGCCAGACCCTGGCCGAGCACGAGCTTGAGAAGCCCAGTGTGGAGCAAAAGCTGGATGAGATAATCAGGCGGTACCTGGAACAGCGTGATTCCACCGATGACGACTCAAGCTCTGACGAGGAGACGACCACCGAAGATGGCTCTGGATCAAAGGAGTCATCAAGCTCGGAAGGCGACTCCAGTAATGATGATGATTCTGACAATGATAACGACTCCTCGTAGGCATAATCACAAAATCGTATTTAAGTAATAGGGTGTGGAATAAGAGCAACATAATAAATTATTTTTAAAGCAACAAGAAAAACGGTAACGAGTCTCTGAAAAAACATTAATTTGGTTCCATCGATAAATTTCAACGAGTGGATTTACTGAACTCAGAAAACAGAGCGATGTCCGCCCTTTTAAAATTCAGACTACAGACACTGATTAACTTCGTTAATAAAGCAACACATTTTAATGCGGTTGCTTCTGAAAGCGGTTCGAACATAATTATGATGAAATATGTTTTTTTAGTTCATAATAGCAGTTGAGTATCTATACCTTGATGGGACTATAGGTCTCCTTGAAAAGTTTTAACTAAATAAATAAATATTTTTCCATTAAACCAACTAACTTATGTCATTGCATTAAACTGAGACTATGGCAATGAATTTTATACCAACTTCCACTCAAAATACTTTCCCTTCACATGTTATAAATGAAATTTATGGATTGCCTTTAATGGTTGGTCTTCTTTTTCAAAACTGTTATACAAATAAGCTTTTTCGCTTTTATATAACAACAATATTGAAAATACCAACTTCCATTCAAAATACTTCCCCTTCATATGTTATAAATGAACTTTATGGATTGTCTTTAATGGCTTGTCTCCTTTTTCAAAACTGTTATACAACTAAGCTTTTGCACTTTTGTATAACAACAGAATTAAAAAGGATTTTTGGCACCCTTATGATTTTTTAAACTTAAGCTTTATCCTGAGTGTAGTCATATGAGTATTAATATAATAATTCTTATCCATAACAACAAGTATGCCACAATCTTTATAACCAGAAGAGGTATAAATATACTCGAACGCCAAGAATGACTCACGAAAGATACGTTGCATTTATAGCCAGTATAACAAGCATACGATTTCCCCCAGAAATAAGGATAACTTAGCAACCATCGTCTTATTAAACTATATGAAACTTGCTGATATGAGTGTGCTCGTCGAGCCCATGCAAAAAATTAAACTAAAAGGGAGAAACTCTAGCGGTTTTTCATAAGGAATGGAATATTATCATTTCTTAATGTGATGTTTATTTTAATCTTACGATTTTTCTAGTTAAAAGGTCAGAGTATTCCGAAATCCTTGCCATCGCAAGGCTTTACCGCGGTTCTTATCACAATGGTCTCTGCTGGCTATAAATACCGCGGGCTGTGCTGCCTTTGGTTTATAATCGACGGAGCTGTGCTGCATTTAGTTTAAAATCGACGGAGCTTCAAGCACAATGAAGTCGTACTTCGTGTTTTTTCTGTGGGCTTGGCTTTGCAAGGGCCTATCTCTTATCGGTGCCGATTTACTTAAAGATATATCGGAAAATCGGTGTGATGTATTTAGCTTGTCCCACTTTGAACGGCTTAATAAATCAGAAACACTCAACGAAATATTAAATGATCAACTAAAGTCTGCAAAAGATATTATGCAAAATTTGAAAACTCAAATAAAGTACAAAGAAGATCTAATATTTGAACAAAGAAAGGAAATCAGTGACCAAGTCGAAGTCATCCAGGTTAAACAAAGAAAAGTTGCTGACATGGCAGAAACTATTAAAGCTCTTCAAAGTGAGTTGTCAAGTGCTAATGGTAAAATCGAAAGAGCGGAGGCTGTGATCAGTGATCAAGAAAACGAGCTGAATAGGCGAAATAATCAAATCACGGAACAAAAACTAAAACTATTGATTTCAGATGACAATGTTTTTTTTATGAACATTACCATTCGAGATAAAGAAGATAAGTTAAGAATTTGTACGGATGATATCAAACTGAAAGATTCTGAAATCAGTAATCAATCTAAGCTACTAGAAGCAAAAGATAAGGAAATATATGATCTGTGGAAAAGTAAAGAAAATGCCCAGAATGACTTAATGAAAGCTAAAAATGAAATTAAAAACAAAGATAAAATAATAAAGGAGAAAGAGGAACAACTTGAGAGCAAAGATAATCAACTCAAAGCCCTCAACAGTCAGATAAAATCAAGTTCGAAGAAAATATTAGAAATGGGCGATGATCTTTTAAGGTTATATCCTTTACACAGCTGCCCAAGAGCCGGTCCAAGTGGCGTTTACAACATTACAGTTCGTGGAGTGAAGACATTCGAAGCTCCCTGCAACTCAACTGGTTGGTTAACTATTCAAAAACGATTTGACGGCTCCGAGGACTTCAATCGGCCTTGGGAGGACTACAAAAATGGATTTGGAAATATTCGCGGCGAATTTTTTATAGGACTGGAGAAATTGCATGTAATGACTCGTGACCGAAAACACGAACTTTCTATTACACTTGGGAAGGTGGACGGATCCATCGGCTTTGTCCACTATGATCATTTTGAGATTGGTAGTGAAGCAGAATCTTATCTGCTCAAATCCGTGGGCAATCATACTGGGGAAACCGGAGACTCCCTAACAATTCATGTAAAATCGAAGTTCACCACATTAGACAGGGATAACGATTCTAATAAGAATGGAAATTGCGCTTCCAATGATTGGGGTGGTTGGTGGTACAATAATTGTGCTCAGAGGTAAACATTTTAAATTACCAACTATTCAACAAAATTAACATAACTACTTGAAATTGCAGCAAACTAAATGGAAAGTATTTCAAAGAGGGCCACTCCCTAACATATAACAACGGAATCTGGTGGGGTACTTGGGATAATTACGACTATAATCAATCGCTCACCTTCAGTGAAATGATGATTAGGCCTAAGACCGTATGTGTTTAGGATTTAAAACGAAAAATATTTCAAAAATATTCAGATTTGAAATCAGTGGTTTTTGTAATAAAAAATATATATAAAACTTGTTTAATTAAGATGTTATTTTTGTCGCCACAATTGGTTTATTTTTTAAATTTTCAGGGTTCACATTTTTCAGTGAATATACATACTCTTTCAAATACTCTTTCAGTTCCAATTTAGGTGATTAAAAATTGTTGTTTTTTTGCTAGACTAGACTCGGCCAGTATGATTAATCCAAAGACGGCGAAAAACGTGATGATGATGAGGAAACTCATGCCGGATCTTCCCTGGGGCAGTACTGCTTGTTGCTTCGCTTCATAGTAGGGCGTTGCTGTCTCTTATGAATTGACTATAACGAACTCTCATGTGTACAGCGTTGTGCTACGAGCAGTCGATTGAGCTTTTTCCACTTAAGCTTCTATCTTTGTACTGTTATATAGCAAGTTAATTTCCTTAAAACTAATATGCCACAATGTTTAATGTTCATATTTATAGCTGCAAAGCCCAGAATAACTCACGCAAAGTATGTTGCATTTATAGCTAAGATAACAAGCATACTATTTCCCCTGAAATCAATTTAAAAACAGGAGAAATTAGTGAACATGTTCCGCCTGAAGTCAAACGCTGGTTTGCTTATTGCAATTTTATTGACTTTTTGTATTTCAAGAGATCTCTTTAGTATTTGCCGCTTAATAACTATAGACCGACTATTAATCATTCTTTATTTTTATGTTTAATTAACTTAATAATTATTTTATACTTTTTGCGCTCTAAGCCAAACAAAAAGTTTCCGGATTTCGAAGCATTGAAAATTCGATTCATTTTAGTGTCAAGCCTTAACTAATCATTTAGAGTGTTTGCTGCCAGCACAAGCGTAAAGACTAGCAGATATGTCCTAAGCTTTCGTTAGCCCACTAATTCAGAGTCTAGGTGCATACCGTTGAGGAGATACTAAATGGTTATGTTGCACTAACTGTTCACAGGGAAAATATCAATAGATATTTTTAATCTATATGCCTTTGCCTTACTTTTATTTTTGCATTTTGAAGTGCTTAGTCTACAACACGAATCAATGGCTTACATTACATATGAATTTCGCTTTAGGAATTTTCTGAATTTTGTTTAGGAATAATTTTGCATTAGGATACCAAAATTGGGAAATCATATTTTCCAAATTAAAATGAAAAACTAAACTGTGATTAGTCATATTAATTTCTTAGTAACTTCTATCTAGCATTGTCTGAGTAGTCTTTGTGCAGTTTTATATAAATCAAAACTATTTCAGAATCATAATATTTTTTTTAACAATAAACAAATGTAAATTCAATTTAGAATGTGATGATGATTAAAGCATATGCATTTTATACTGTTTCGGTATTGGCCACAGTTTGATTTTTGCCGAAGTCATTAATTAGAGATCATATCGCTAGAATCTAGTGGTATTGCTTTAAAATTACTTTGGTGCGTGCGCTTCTTTATTTCTAAGATGAGCAAATGAAGATAAGATCAGTTCATTTGTTGAGCATTTTGACAATAGCCAACTGAAGTTGAACAACCGCACCGGAACACAACCAAAAAAACATTAAATCCACAAACTTATTGGCACATAAATGAACCAAAAGCTCCTCTAAATATTACCAACTAAGTCCCAATCTCATTGATACTCGACCCGGGCCACTGGAACCCCGAAATCATTAATCTCAAACACAATCAACTTCCGTTTCTTGCGGTCATTGGCCGAGGGAAGCGATTGCTTTGGTGCTGTTGAAGTCTTCGTCGTAGTGCTCACGGGTGTGGAGACTGGGATGGCTTTCTCCAGCTTCGTTGCCACTCCTCTTTTCGTTGTTGCCTTCGTCGTTGTCGTTGTGGTTGCTGTGGCGGCTGTGGCAGCCACTCCTTTGATTAAACTCTCCTTCGTTGGAACACCCTGCCCCCCAAGGTCCTTCGCTATCTGTGGCTGCAATTTGGACTTCTCGTTGGTCTTTCCTTTGGGCTGCTCCTTGGGCACTTCCTTGGACTTGGGCACTGGGGGCAAAGCCGGAAGATCGCAACGCTGACGCAGATGACGGTAAACGGCATCCACCCGCTGGACAAGGCGATTCACATACTTTGTGGTCGTTCGATCCACTATGGAGGGGGCCTTAATACAGTCGTTGCCACCGAATTCACAAACCTATTTTAAATTAAATAAGTTGAATTAATTAGTAACTCATATACATATTAAAGAATAACATAGTTTACTTACTCGATAGTGCTGCAAGATTGCCTCCTTTGGCGGCACGTTGAGAGATCCTTTTCCAGGCGCAAATTCCCATACGAAGTGATTGCCCGCCTCGACGACTGCCTCCGGTTTGCAGATGTACTTGGATCGCTGCTTCTGGGGGTGTAGTTTGTAGCGCCTGGGGTCATTCCAAGGTTCAGTATGTATTATTTTGATTTCCTTATCTTTAGTAGATGTACTTACCTGCGCGTCTTACGTTGGGTAACTAATGAGGCCCGCACACTTGCCAACTGGTCGTTGCCCCCGTCTATTCCCGAACTAGCCAGGCTGTCGTCCGCAAACTGTAGATAGTAAAAGGCGTTCTGAAAGGAATAGGCACCAGTGTTGCGATTGCGGAAGCGCTGATTTAGGGATCTACATAAAAAATGAGAAAATTGAATTTAATAAACCATTTTCATTCCAAAGCTAATTAGATAAAGGCAACTTTAAACTTAGTTATTTACAGAAAATCAGTAGCACTCACCCAATAAGTTCATTTAGCGTGTCGGAGTAACGGGGAACAATGAACTCATCCAGATCGACTAGGGCCAGATACTTGTAGCGATACATGGTGCGATAAAGGCAGTCGTTCAATGCCGCAAAGAGTCCCTCGGTGCGGATCTCCTTCTGGCTGCGCATCCGAAGGTTCCATGGCAGGATGCTGACGGTTGGACGTTGATAGTGCGTTTTGAGAACGCGGGGCGTGGCATTGTTGGCTGCCTCGGCTGGCAGAAGAGGTGCCAGATCGTGAGCAGTCAGATTACCTGGCACCAGACCCTGCTGATAGCTCTGCAGGACACAGGATGCATGCGGTCCCAGTGTATGGTTATAGAATGTAAAATGGGAAACACCCAGCAAGGCGTAGAATTCCAAATACTCCATTAGGTACAGAGCCTGATCGTAATTGAAGTGTAGAGGTTTCACGCAGACGGCAATGCGATCTGGTATATTATCGCCACTTGGCGGAGACCGACCCAGTGGTAATCCTTTTGTGGTACTTGCATTTCGCACCGGCCTCGCCGCAAAGTCAGCATCCTGGTCAGTATTACGCAGGGTCAGTAGATTACCCGGCGGTGCACGGAGGCGGGATACCACGCTTACAAAGTGGGGAACAGCCAATGGCGGAGTGCGCACCGGGCACAGGATAAAACAGGCGCTGTACTTTAGGTTCCAATTCTCACGGATGATCTACAGGATTTTAGCAATATAAACTTTAAGTATTTTCTATTTTGTATTAAATCAAAAACATATTTGTGCAGACATGGGGAAAATATGAAATTAAAATGGTCCCACCTTGACGCGAGCCATCACAGTGGCTGAGGAGTATTTGGCACGTGCCGAAGTGGAGCCCGTATCCGTGGCATTGGCAGGACTTGGTCCGTACCAAAACCGACACCAGACCCGCTCCGGTCCCCGGGTTTTCGTGGCACCCACCACCCGCACCAGCCGGGCTCCTTCACGCCGATCGAAGTAGGCGGAGTAGACAAAGAACTTGAAGCGGGTGCCGTTGACAACCTGCCAGGCGCCATCGGTGGGCCGTGTGCCAAAAGGAAAGTGGGGCAGGGTCTCTTCCACCTTGCCGGGCAGCACCTGACCCCAGGGTATAAGTGGAACGTTCACACCGAACGCTCCTGCTCCCGTACCTCCGCCGCCATTGAGTAGCATTCCGGCCAAACGTTGGCCATCGGCGCCTGCGGCTTCTGTGAAATTGAAAAATGCATGAGACATGCGGCGTATACGTAATGTCCTATTGTCAAAGCCATCACCATTGTTGGCTCATTGTGTGGCGTTAGTTTATTTCGATTATGATATTTACCTTGAATTTTCAGTTTATTGTCACGCAGCTGTATAAATCCTAACTTATTATCACTCAGAATGCTAGCATCCAGTAGATCGTAATCGTCCTGCAATGAAATAACAACGTTATTGTTATATTTATTTAAAATGTACCAATTCGTTAAAGTTGCTAAACATAAAAAGTTCTAAACCAATTATGCATTTAAGTACTGAAATCGCTTTGCCCAGCATACCAGAAAGCGCATCTTTATGTTCCCACCACTGCCCAAGGACCATAACGAACGAGTGGTCCACAAGCCGCTTATGGGCAGATTTGCATAGCGAAACTTACCTTAACATTATCATAATCCGGCATCGAGTCGCCCATTCGCCCGCCCAGACTGGAGCCACCTCCGCCGCCTGCTCTCATTGCCAACATGCCGCTGTGAGTGCGCTCGTCGATCATGAAGACCTGGAAAAAATTAAAATGAAGGGTGGAAATCCATTTAATTTTCACACACACACATTAACAAACTAAAATCTGACATCACTAAACCGCTTGGCTTGGTCAAGCACCTCTACCCTCTACCTCAAGCACCAAAACAACAACTGTTGTCTAAATACTTAAATCCATTACAGTGTCCAATATTGCCTTTTGCCTCCCCATTTATGGTCATATCCCAACTCAATCGCCCTAAATCTTTCCTCAACTCCGCTATTAGATCAGCTCTGTGTGCTTTCCGCCCAACGCCAACAACAACCTACAGGCTGAGTTGGGCATCAACACCTTCGAGCACTAAAAAGACTTTCTTACCGGCAAACTCTCCAAAACCCTCTGAACCCTCAGTCTGAAGATACCCCCTAAATATATATAAATAGTACACATATATTGTAAATATAATGAAAATAGTAAACCCTAGTAATATTTTGTTTATATTCATATGTTAAACATAGGTTAAATCTATACAAACCATATTCTAGTTTTTGCCGAGCTGAAGGCCTTGGATGCTATTGCTCCTAGCCAAATATTAACTCTTAGTTTAAACTAATTGTTAGCCTTAGATAAATAAATAAAATAAAATAAAAGATTAATATAAGTGTTTAGAGCGTCCCGCGTTATCCCGTGGAGCCTCTTCTTCGCTCTCGCACTCTCGATCAAAAAATGAGAGAGCTATCAACTGATCGCTTTGAGTTTCCACTGGGACAAGCAATAAACTTAACAGTAGGCATCTTAAAATTATGCTAATGTATTTCTTAATGTGATGTTTATTTTAATGTGGGTTTTTTGGGTTGAGGGTTAGATTATTCAATAATTTAGCTTGGTTCTTATCACAATGGTCTCTGCTGGCTATAAGTTCCGCAATACGCTTTGTGCTGAGTTTAGTTTATAATCGACGGAGCTTCAAGCACAATGAAGTCGTACTTCGTGTTTGTTCTGTGGGTTTGGCTTTGCAAGGACCTATCTCTTATCGGTGCCGATTTACTTAAAGATATATCGGAAAATCGGTGTGACGTATTTAGCTTGTCCCACTTTGAACGGCTTAATAAATCAGAAACACTCAACGAAATATTAAATGATCAACTAAAGTCTGCAAAAGACATTATGAAGCATTTGAAAACTCAAATAAAATACAAAGAAGATCTAATATTTGAACAAAGAAAGGAAATCAATGACCAAGTCGAAGTCATCCAGGTTAAACAAAGAAAAGTTGCTGAAATGGCAGAAACTATTAAAGCTCTTCAAAGAGAGTTGTCAAGTGCTAATGGTAAAATCGAAAGAGCGGAGGCTGTGATCAGTGATCAAGAAAACGAGCTGAATGGGCGAAATAATCAAATCACGGAACAAAAACTAAAACTATTGATTTCAGATGACAATGTTTTTTTTATGAACATTACCATTCGAGATAAAGAAGATAAGTTAAGTATTTGTAGGAATGATACCAAACTGAAAGATTCTGAAATCAGTAATCAATCTAAGCTGCTAGAAGCCAAAGATAAAGAAATATATGATCTGAAGAAAAGTAATGAAGATGGACAGAGTAACTTAATGGAAGCTAAAACTGAAATAGAAAACAACAGAAAAATAATTAAGGAGAAAGTTGAACAACTTGAGAGCAAAGATAAGCAAATTTATGGCTTCAACGATCAAATAAAATCAAGTTCGAAGAAAATATTAGAAATGAGCGATGATCTTTTAAGGTTATACCCTTTACACAGCTGCCCAAGAGCCGGTCCAAGTGGCATTTACAACATTACAGTTCGAGGAGTGAAGACATTCGAAGCTCCCTGCAACTCAACTGGTTGGTTAACTATTCAAAAACGATTTGACGGCTCCGAGGACTTTCATCGCCCTTGGGAAGACTACAAAAATGGATTCGGAAAAATAAAAGGGGAATTTTTTATAGGACTGGAGAAATTGCATGTAATGACTCGTGACCGAAAACACGAACTTTCTATTAAACTTGGAAAGGTGGACGGATCCATCGGCTTTGTTCACTATGATCATTTTGAGATTGGTAGCGAAGCAGAATTTTATGTGCTCAAATCCGTGGGCAACCATACTGGGGAACCCGGAGACTCCCTAACAGTTCATGTAAAATCGAAGTTCACCACATTAGACAGGGATAACGATTCTTCCATACATAAAAACTGCGCTTCCAATGATAAGGGTGGTTGGTGGTACTCTAATTGTGCTTTGAGGTAAACATATTAAATTACCAACTATTCAAACAAATTAACATATCTACTTGAAATTGCAGCAAACTAAATGGAAAGTATTACAAAGAGGGCCACTCAATGTATACCAACGGAATCTCGTGGGGTACTTGGCATAATTACGATTATCAACAATCGCTCACCTTCAGTGAAATGATGATTAGGCCTAAGACCGTATGTGCTTAAGATTTAAAAAGGAATTTATTTTACAAATATTTTGATTTGATACGAGTTATAAAAAATTTATATACAACTTTTATGATAAGGTATTTTTTGATTATTTTTTTGATTTGTTAGGGTTCACAAATTTTTGTGCAAATACATTATCGAGTTGGAAAAATGTTTATCGAGCTTGCATACTTTGCACCGAATAGAATATACTTTTTTACTTTCAATTAATATATACTTTTCAACTTATCAGCTTAAATCAAATTGCTTAAATGTTGTTTTTAATAGACTAACCTCGGTCAGTATTATTAATCCAAAGACGGCGAAAAAGGTGATGACGATAAGGAAACTCATGCCGGATCTTTCCCTGGAGCCCCACTGCTTCTTCCCTCGCTTCATGGTCGGGGTCAGCGAGGTGCGACCCCCGCGGTGATGATTATGGTGATGATGCTGCTGCTGCTGTTGATGCTGCAAGTGATGCTGATAACAGGCGTGGGAGTGACCTTGCTGTCCGTAGGCAGACTGATAATGGCCCAACAACTGGGAGGCGGAGTTGGTAGAGTTCAGGGAACTGGAGGAACCGACGGAGCCGACGGAGCCCCCCGGGGATTGCTGCTTATTCTGAGGGGGGCTCCGGCTATTCAGCATGTTGGAGTGCAGGAAGCGGGGGATTAGTTTCTGGGCTCAGAGTGTTTCTGTCTCATATGTATTGGCTATTTATCGAAGATTTATGTGCAACATATTATCGGGGAAGGTTTAAGACTTTCGTTTGGAAAACTTTGGGCATGTTTTTTGCGCTTTCGAATTGTTTATTTGCGAACAAGCTAAGCAAAACAAAAGGGGTAAAATGAGAGCGGCACTCCAAGGGAGAGGAAAATGGCATCCGTGAGCAGACGGAGATTGCGCTCTCCGGAAAATTTTCCTTGCTGGCCAATTATAAAGGAAAAATCAATAATATCAGTGCAAAGATTGGTTTGGCCTTATTTTGCATAAAGCAATTTCAATCCACACTAATGCCTTTCTTTTTTTAATATTAAGCATATTTTATAACCGAATTTTGTCCGTAGGTAATTTTACACGGTAAATTTTAGCAGTTGACACAAACACACATTTTTCACCTTTTCAATGCATTTAACTAGTCAAATTTTGTATTTTCTAATCACTTATCGTTTTAAGACTGCCTTATTTCAAATATCGTAATGAGTAAAAACCGATGTGATAGTAATAAGATTTTTTAGGCATTTAAAACAAAAATTTTTCTGACGTCGACAACAGTAGGAAAACAATGCGGCGGCACAGCTGAGCATGTGAAGGCGAAGGACATGCGCACAGGACATTGAACGTCAACAGATGATGGCAATCCTTGCCAGATAATCTAAAAAATTAAATATCAACAAAATTATAAAATATTATGTGTGCCAAACAGGGCATCTTAATACTAAAGGCAGTAAGTAGCCCAGAAATCTTAATGTTCTTTGGAAAGCTTTTAGCTTAAAAATTATTATGAGAAGGTTTTATAAGACTATCTATTAAAAGTATATCCAAAATAAAAAATATCTTAAGATTTTTATTTAATTAAGTTTAAATAGAATCTTTTAATTGAAAGAGTTCATTAGTTTTCGTATTTAATGGATGAATTGAAAATTATTTTTTGAGTTTTTGGTTTTTATTTACAAGATTTGTATGTACAAAAATTGGGAATAATTATAAAGATTTTAACTTTAAAGTAATGAGTAAAAAACTCCTTATTCATATATATAAGAAACCTTTAAGAAAATAAAAGTCACAGAAAATTTTTACTATTCACACTCCTGCCACATGAATCCTTACATTCAATAGCTTCAGTTTCCGGCCAAACTTTCTTAACAAAAAGGGACTCTAGATCACTTCACATATCGTACATATTCTGCCGGGACTGGACAAAAGAAATTAGCGGAAACAATAAAATTTGGAAAACTTTTGAAAACCAATAAATTCCAAGTGTTTGGAAATCAATTGGGAACAAATTGCAACAGACAAAAAGTACAGGAAAAATAAAAGGCAAGTCCAAGTCAGATGTGTGCATTCACTCTCATTCATGGCATTCACCTTTTCACTTTATTTTTGGGTGAACATTCCTGCCAAGCAATTGTAGAGATTGCAAGACAGAAATGCAAAGGGAAAGACGCTCAAGTGGTTGGGGCAAACAGTTTTGTTTGCCAAACTTTTGTCATTGAGTACGCTTAACAATAGCAAACCAATGGCCATATCTAGGGGAATACAATTTGAAACTGGCTTCTAGTTTTGAGCAGAGCATAGGCAAATGCTCTGATAGAAAAATAAACATAGATGTGTGGTCAACTTAATGCAGAACAAATATAGTATGGGAAACCTTCTCAAGGTAGACAAATTAATTAACGTAAAATTTAAGGCCAAATGGCATGTAAATAAAATCAAGAAATAACTTAGGAAAAATAGTTTCACTTGAATGTCATTTATTAATTCTAAATTTAATAACAGTATATTTATTGGTCAGTTATTAAGTTGATATACAGGCAATTGTTTACATTGCCAAATAAAATGAGTAAACAATGAGATTGAAATACAAAAGTACAAGTAACTGGCTATAAATACGAATAGTACGAGCTCAAGAAAGACCGAGTCATGGCAAACACTAGAGAGCATTCGCTGCTGCACCTCAAGTGAGATTAAATAAAACTGCAAGAAAATTGAAATGAAAATTCGGCAAGGCAAACACAAATTCGAGATAAGTTATAGGAGCATCTATGAGATACCTTTCAGTCCCTACATCCCACCCTTCTCCACCGTTGCCAAAAATATTTAATTTATACAGAACCCACTTACATATATTTGCTGGCAACTTCCACGTCGAACTGGAAGCTGCCGGTGTGGCAGCTTAAGTTACTGCCAGACCATTTCAGCTCCCACCGATATTGCCCAGGCATAGGCAACTTAACTTTGATGAGTTTGCAAAGTACAATTCCGGCGAGGTGGGCAAAGGCAATCCTTATCCAGCGACTTGAGTGCCGTGTGCGGTCGGGTGCGCTTAAAATTATGATTAAAATAACGAAAAATATGTGCTCTTCTTAGTTCTAGCTGTTCCAAAGATAATAGCTTGGATCTGAAAACTAATAAAGCGACTACGGTATATATGTATGTCTGGTTCCTGTGAATCCATAAAGACGACTTTTAAATTTGGTTTTTATCAAACATTTAAGCATTGGTTTTTATCAAACCACCAGCGAATATCCGTGGAGAAAACTACATAGCATGCTTCCAGGCATTTTATTAATTTCACTTCATTTTGATGCTCTCGTTATCCTGGGCAGAGGATGAGGACAATGATGTCTGAAAATGGCTTGGAGCACTGCGGGCGCACATCAGCCGGATGCGCGGGTTGTTTGGTAATTTCCTTAACGGAAGTGCATGCAGTTGCAGGACCATAATAGGAGGAATGGAACCATCCTTATCCTGCCTGCCGGCTACAGTCCAAAGGAAGTTGTCTGGTCAGTGTATGTCGGATTGTCGGATTGCCTTTTACTCCTGCAAGTGAATACGCTTGAAAAATGTGTGCGGCCGAAAATTTGCTACACAAATTTCCGTAGCAATAAAAGACCAAGAGCCAAGCCTTATCTATACTGCTGCCAATGGGAGTTCAAAAGGCCAATTTGTAATTGATTAGGCACATTCGTGGTTGACATAGGAACCACAAAAGCCCGAAGCATTGGCATAACGAGGCTCTATTGTGTTTGAAAAACAATTCATTACCAAAGTTTAAGTTTTGTACTATTACCAAAAGAGCTTCATGCTAGATAACCAGTAAATGCGGTTTTCTCAATTTTAAACAACCTCCCATTAGAATTTTAAGTTTTGAAATAAGTATTATTGTCGAGTGGCCCAGACCATTAAGTTCAGGATGAATCGGAAGCACAATTAGGCTGAGTGCCAGGGGCGTGTGCCGTGGGCCTTGGGTCGTGGGCAGTGCGAAGTGCCACAAAAATTCGCCCTAAATTAGAGCGAGAGCAGGAAGAGGAAACCATCAAATGCAGAGACCACAAGTCTGAGACGATTCCGACATAAGTTCAATAGAACGATGGCAATAAGTGCATTAGCAGCATATTTCACAGATTGGCAGACACGTCGCTAGATGTGGTCCCGTGGCCAGCCAAGCACACCAGACCGGGCCAAAACCACCCAGACGTTGGCCAAGACCAAGTAGTAAGCCACAAATTGCATGAGATCATAAATATTTCAAGCATAAAGTACAAAATATGCAAAAGTTTCCTATTTTCCTTTAACGTTCTGTTCGCTTTGGCAATTGCCATTTCCATTGCCAATGCCACTGCAGTTGGATGCAGTGCAGCCGCTTTGTCCTTTTTAGCCTGATGATTCTGGTAGCCTAAAGTTACCTTTTACAGCTTAGTAAACAAAAACATTCTCTGAATTAATTCCCATATATTTTGTATTCAATAATTGTTTAGAATATCCCTCCCTGTATATCAATGTACTTATTTTTGAGCCACGATTAATTTTTATCAAATGTATTTTATTGGGTATTTTTATTTATGCTCCAAGTTTAAATAGTTGATGGCAGCACTGGCTATGCTGACTGTTGGCCATTGCAGTTGGCCAGATACGAAGGACGTCAAACGGAGTAAGAAAAATATATTGCTAAATTCTCGCACAGGAAGCGGCAGCAGGAGCAGAGGCAGTAACAGCAGCAACAGCCAGCGGGTGGACCCAGCTCAGGACCCTTCCGTGCTCCCTATTCCGTACTTGCAGTCCGAGTCCGGTGTCCGTTGTCCGTTGTCCGGCACGTGCACTACGCCAAAATGGCAAACGGAAGTTCAAAAGAGCAAAGAGCATGTAACGATATTTTGGTTCTCTCTTCTGCCTTTTCCGAGTCGTATGGCCATGCGATTGCGGGCAACAAATTTGCAATAAGCAATTTTTCAATTTTCAATTTAGGCACCAAGGCAGCCAGGGTGGACAAGGATATGCAAAACAGCGGCCACATATCGCCAAGCCATAATTCAACGCGAGTTGCCAAAATCCGATTCTGCACAAAGGACAAACGAGAGTCCTGCGAGTGAGCCCAGCCGTCCGTCAGGCGTAAAGCTCTTTTAATTAACAGCGACTTTGTATTTCCCACATAACGTATTTCAATAAGAAGACTAAAGCTTATTTTTTATTTGCTGCCATCGCTGGCAAATCACCAGTGCTGTCAATATGAGCCACATTATACATGCCACATATGGATAAACGGAAGCTGCCGCCTCATCTGTCAACTCCGAGTTTTTCAAAACGAAAACAAAGTTCCTGTAGTTTTCCTCGCAACTAGAGCAACCATTGAAGTCCACATCCACAAAGTCGTCCTCGTCAAGCTCTTCCCTAGAGATTATTCTTGCACTTGCTGCGAGTTGCCAGAAGCCCATCAGCAGGCAAACTAGTTGGAAGCCCATGGGAGGTCAATCCAGGAGTGTCGCTGCTGCAGAGACAACCATCTACAAGACTGAGTAAGGGAACTTTTTCCAGGGCTTTTTATGGGCCAAGAAAAGGTTTTAAATTACAGATCAGTGAATCATCCATCTGGTCAGTACACAGAAAAATACAGTTTTCAAAGAAGAAATATTTTTTTATTTACAATCCGTTGGGTATTTTAAACGAAATCAGAAACTAATAGGAACCGAGTACAACCAAGCCAGAGTTTTCCTAGAAATGTTTTATTTTTATATCGGGGATCTACTCACACCATGTATTGCCGGATATCGAGTTCGCGTTCCCTCAGCTTTAGATCGATCCATTGCCGGTGTAACTTAACGTTTGTGTAAATACCGAGAAGTTGTGGGCCATCGCAGCGAGCTGTTCTCGTCAGAAGACCGGCCAAAAGGAATCGATCATCGTGGCCGGAAATTGGGCACATCAGGGGCACCTCCGGTCATCTCTACATCATCGCAAACAAAGTCGCCCTTGTCCCCTCCTGCGCATAGTAGGCTATCATTATGGGTGTGTCGTCGTCCCAAAAATGACAATCGCAACTTGACTCTGCACTGATCAGGTGGCAGGACATAGAGGGTCCATCGCTTAGGCAGGATCGTTGATCCAACAAAGTCGCCCCTTTGCCAACCGGATATGTAGCACTGACTGTAATTGTACTTCATTTCAGGAGGCGGAAGGCAGATGGGTTGAACATTGGGAGCCAGCAGAAAGGGGGTCTTCTTGTCTACTATAATAATCGCCATGTTGTTGGCCAGCGGCATCTGCGTGAAATTTGGATGCAACAATGACTCAACGGCCAATCTCGCTTGATGCGGTTGAGGTTCCAGCTCGACGGCGGCATCCCATTCTCCAGCCACCAGAAGAAGCTTTTCGGTTTCTACATTCTGGACACAATGGGCTGCGGTGATCACCGCCAGCGGAGTGATGAGTGCTCCACTGCAAAGGTAATCACCCGCCCCGTAGATCGCCACCAGCCAAGGAAACTCGCCAAACTTGGCTTCCTGCTGCTTGTAACCCAGAGGTCGGAGGTAATACCAAAGATCGTGACGTCCTCCACACGGCCAGTTGGTCGCCTCCTGTTGATATCCCGGTGTCAAGAGCTATTTTTATACACACATTACGTAAAAAAATCTGTCAATTCCTTACAGTATATAAATAGATAAAAAACTGATGCTTAAAAACTAATAAAAACATTTGTTATATCGACGGAAATAAAAAGTAAAATTAATACAATATGTTAACTATATAAACTGTCAATAAACTACAAATAATAATAAAAGAGATTACTCACCGTATCGTGGATATTACAGCACTTTTCCATATAGTGACAGTTCTCATCCAACGTCGTTCGACTGCGATCCGGATAGAATTTTCCGTCTACCATTAAACCCTCATTGCACTGCTCATACGGTACACATTGCTTTTCCGGACCACAGTTCTTGAATGAAGATATCGAGGGCAGTTGAAACCCCAAAAAGTATATGAGCACAATCCGATGAAGCCAAATAGCCGCGAGACCCATCCCTGAACAGGTGCCTTGCACTTGAACTGCGACACTGGCCGTCAGCTGGCTTTTATAGCCTCGCCAAAGTTCAAGCCGTACACCCCGATTTGATTGGGTAAAAAATAGATTGTGATCCATTAAAGAGCTAAAAATAGGCGTTATTGTGCTGAAAAAAAGGGGCTTGACCTGGAGAAATCCACCAAATGGTTCAGGCGACGGTAATCTAAAAAAAAGTTCAGCATTTGCATATTCCCTGTAAAGTATATAATAGATAGATAGTATATGGTAGACGTAGTTTACCTAATAAGCAATTTTAAACGTAAGTTTACAATGCAAGCTATATAAACATGTCCGCAGGAAGGGGTAATCGTTCTGTGCCCAATTACGCAGATGAATCTGGCACTTTCCTTAGTCTGCCGACATCTACACGTATCCACGTATCTATTACCGAGTATTCGAATTGAGCGTCTAGGGGTTTAGAAGTGAAGGGAGGATGCGGATCAGCTGTGCTCTGGTTGAAGTTCTGCGTCATATCTTAATGTACAATCGTCGCCTAAGTGCATGTAAATTGAATAAAATTTCGACAAGTTTTAATACACAAGACATGCACACAACACTCAAAAGGAAAATGAGGTGGCGACAAGACAGGTTGGGTTTTTCCGGCTGGGGAAATAGTTTCCCAGCCGTTCGATAGACACACAACCGATGTGTAGGGCCTGTTTGTACTGGACATACATATTTGTTGCACTGACTTGTTTGGTTGGGATTTACGCAACTTAAACAGATTGTCAACAGGAATAGTGAAGGATGAGATAGAATCGAGTGAGCTGAAGTGGGCTAGAGGACAAAGATACCAGGAGGACAAAACATGCTTCAAATATGTAGAACGTTAACGTGTCCTGTGCCTGCTGGTCCTGTGTGAAACTTAATTTGTTCAATCGTGTTGCAACACTTCTGAACAGATGTTATCCTCGAGGAAATGAATTCTGTTATTGTTGCTGGCCATTCACTTTAAATATATTTATAAACATGTCAGCCCCTTGCCATCAGCCAGCAAAATTTTGTGGTGCCAAACGTTCAATTATTATATGAATGATTATTCAGACATTGATGTTGGATGGATCAAAAGTACATTTTGCCTAGATGGATACAAAAAATTGTGCAAATGCATATACAATTATAATTGAACTTTTGTTGTATTTAAATAACTTTTAGATTAAATAAATTTATTTTTGGAGACTAAGAAATTACTCTATTAACATTTGAGCATCTTTTTTAAAAACTTAAACTCATTTTGAGTCAAACGTAATAATACTACTGCTCTTCTGAGTACTGTTATTCACTGTGTAAAGGTTCTCTCTGAACAACAGTTGCATGCAAAATGCTCTCTTAAATGCAATATCTTTAACTAGACTGCAAACTGAGTGAAATCCTACAGACTGTAAGCAGCAAACTCAAGAACGGCGCCGAGTGAGTTAGATTGGGAGCAGTGAGTGCAACGACTGATGTAAAGAAACATTAAGTTGATACCCTTCTATTAATCTAGATCGTTCAAACCAAAGTTATTATTTCCATTGATAAGGTAGAAAACAAAGCACTAAATTCCGAAAAATTGTTTTGTTTAATTGTTTATAAAAATGTAACCTTTGCTGTTCAAATAAAAGCGTAAGTTTTATTTATTAAAAAGTATGTAACAAGTAGAAGGAAGCCTTTCCGTATGAATTTACATATAATCGTTATCAGGAACTTTAGCCAAATCGACTACCCATGTTACAAATTATATATAGAAAATTATATATAGATATAAAATGCAGAGATGTTTATTCTTCATAGCTTCAGAGTCGCTCTACTCTGTCCTTTTAATAAAGCACTACAAATTAAAATGCTTCTGTTCGGTCCCCACCAAAGTGAAAGGCTAAACTTGTGTTTTGTATATCATTTTACATATACTACGTTTGCTTTTATTTCAGTATCAACTCAGAGGATAGCTTGAACATAAAATGGCCTACAAGCAATAGTACATTAAGTCGTAATTGTAACTACTAAAATATTAAGGGGTTACATTTAGTACATGTCTTATGCGGATCTTATTGAAATGGCATTTAGATAACCTTATAAATTGGTTAGTCAAAACAGCACATAACGCAGTAAAAATTTCAATTATTATGGAAAATTGAAAACTTTAAAGTTTTGTTAAAATGCATTTTGGACTAATTAAAGTCAGTACCATTTTAAATTAGCAAAATATCGCATGGAAGCTTTAGTGTTTATCAGTTAATATTATAAAATCAGCGTAAGACATGTATATGGTGGATGTGGCACCTTAATCTCCGAGGACATTGGGATAGTTTTTTATATGCAGGAGATCCTGTCAGATCAGACCTTCTCGGATTATACCACGTTAATGTTCCTGAACCTCTCCCGATCCTAATCGCAGCCACTGGACGCAGTGTCACAGCGTGTCGTTGAATAATCGCTTAGCCCCTTTGAAATTAGGATGAATTGGACCCGGTAACACGTGCGGCTTGAGAACGCTCTTGCCAGGCAAACGATTTGCATCGTAGGGCAGCTGCGGAGACAGCTTAAGTTGCCGGTAGTAGTCGCTCTTGGGATAGACGCAGTTGCTCTTGGTCATGATCCGCACACGTTTTGCACTTCCAGTTTGAGGTGTGGCAAACTGCAGACGCGCAGCCTGTTTTGGCGTTGACTTTTGCAGCTTGGTGTTGACCTGCTTCAGTTTTTGTTTGCGCGAAGGAACGAAAATGTCTTGCTCGCCAGCCTCTAGAGGGGCATCCCACCCGTTGGCAGTTTGTGGTGTGGCGGTGGTGATTTCATTATCGCTAGAAATATCGGTTTTTTGAGTGGATTTCATCTTAGGCTGCTCCTCCTTTTTGGTCTCGGGCAGATCCTCTTTCTTCGGCTTGGACTCCTCTTCCTTGGGCTTTAACTGGTCTTCCTGGGACTTAGACTGCTCTTTGCTGTCCCTATTCTGCCCCTCCTTTTTTGCCTTTGACTGCTCGATTTTTTTCGCAATGGGCGTGTCCTCCTTTTTTGCTTTTTTTGCCCTTGACTTAGCCTGCTTGTCTTCTTTGTCATCTGCAGTTCCGTGAGTATCTGTAACTTCTTCTACCACCCAGGCGTTGTTTATACTGGACCGGACCTTTGCGTTGTGTTTTACCTTTTTCTGCAGCTCTAGGGGAAGAGCCTTACCGATAACATCGTCATAGTTATGCTCATCCACTTCTTCAAAGTTAATGGACTGCAGCAGGCGCTTGCGCTTGGATTTATTTAGCTTCTTGAGTTTCCTGCCAGTGCCAAAAACTTCATCCTCCATTTCATCAATAGCAGCCACTTTTTGTTCTACCATTTCGGAAAGAGTTTGGCCCTCAACCTTTGGCATAGTGCGCACTCCAAGTGGAAACTCTCCGCCCTTGTAGGTCTCAAAAATCTGAATGAGCTTCCGCAGACCCTTACGGCGCTTGCTGTTGAACTCATTCGTGCGCAGCTGCTTTTGCAGCTCATCTAGGACGCAATCAGCGTTGAGCGGCAGCTCCGGCATGTGAACATCTACGTTGCCAGCCCGGGGGTCTAGAGATGTAGCCCGTGGCGGCTCTTCCTCGGCGTTGCCCTCATCATCCTCCTCGTCAAAGCCAGAGTCCAGTTTCTCAATGTCATCGATAGAGGCAGTGGGGAATCCCATCAGTTTCCAGGCATTGTACTTTTCGCTGTACTCGCGTCCCAGGTCGCTCTGATACAGCAGGTGATAGAACACCCTAGTGCGGCACTGCGCTACGAGCTTGGCATCTCGCTGGGTGGCCATATAGGTGACGAACGGACGCAAAAACAAATTGACCTGGGCGGCACTGATCTCGCCATCGGCAGCCTTGGCCAGCTCCTCAAAAAAGACATCCAGATAGTGCATGGTCATGCCGCGACTCTTGGGCTGCTCCGAGAGTACGGAAAGCTGCATGCTGCTGTTAAAGGCGGCGATCAGGTCCGCCGACCACTTGTTTTGCTTGAGCAGACGGAGAACATAGCGAACCATGCGGCGGGTTAGCATCAAGAACTTGTCCATACGCCACTGGTCAATGCCGAAGTACTCTTGGCACATGGTGCGCATAAACGCACTGAAAAAGCCTAGACTGCAAGCCGTATTACCGTTAAAGGCGTCCACCATCTGGGCTAACTGCTCGGCCAGTTCTTCCTGGACAAGCGGCTTGTCCGACATCCACATGCTGTAGTACAAACCCTTCCAGATGCGCATGAAGTTCTCCTCAGTGATGGGGAAGGAGCTGCTGGCCCGGACCTTGAACCACTTCGGCAACTTGCGGATCTGACGATTCCGCAGTATCACATCGTTAGAGGCCAGAGCACGGACAATTTTTACCTCCTGAGCGACCACCATCAACTCCTTGGCCATCTTCGGCTGAGTCGCCTCCTCGTCATCCTCCATCTGGATTTCTGCAGCCTCGGCGCTGCGCTTCACTGGCTTCTTGCGCGTCACCATATTCCGGCTAATTCAACTTTTAGCTGCGAAAAATAAGTGAGCTGTGTATATTGAATACGGTACGGCCGCACGTGTTGCCGTTCAGTGTTACCAGATGTCTAATCCAATACCTCACATTTGCTTTGTCAGCCCTGATTTCTCTTTGAAAAAGCATCAACCCATTACTATTAACAGAACACCAACCTTTCTAAAAAGCTGTTATTTTTGATGTTATGCTGCATTTATTAAAAAAGTTTTCATTTTTTATTCATGTACATGTTGTACATGCATCGATGTACGAGTATGTAGTATTTTTTAGTAGCTGACTACACAGGCCCGTTTCGCATATACTGGCAACACTCTTCCCCAGCTGATAATTCGGTCTGCTTTTTATAAATTTGATTATTAAAGAAAATTAAATCAAGAAAATCATGTCAGTGGTAAACGTGACGGCTGCCGAGGAGTACCAAAAGTACATAAATGCAGACAAGACGACCGTGGCGCTATTCGCTGCCGACTGGGCTGAGCAGTGCGGTCAGGTAAAGGACGCCCTGGAGGAGCTCTCCAAAATTACTGGCGAGAAGTTGCAGTTCATTAGCCTGAATGCCGAACAATTTCCAGAGATTTCCATGAAGCATCAGGTGATTTTGCCGTTAGCAATATTAAGAGAAGTAATAATAAATTTGCGGCTTTTCTAGATCGAAGCTGTACCCACGGTAATATTTTTCGCCAAGGGATCCGCTGTGGACCGTGTCGACGGCGTAGACATTGCCGCCATTAGCACCAAATCCAAGAAGTTAGCCGAAAGCGCCAGCAGTGCGGCGGCAACAGGACAAACGCTAGAGGACCGCTTGAAAGCACTGATCAACACGGCTCCGATAATGATCTTCATGAAGGGCGACCGGAATGGACCACGCTGCGGATTCTCTAAACAGCTCATCGCCATCGTAAACGACACAAAGTATGGGGTTCGCATATATTTTTTCCTTCTCTTGTTGACCAAGAATATCCAACAGTTTGCCGTATGAGACATTTGACATCTTGGGGGATGAGGAGGTCCGACAGGGCCTAAAGACCTACTCCGATTGGCCGACCTATCCCCAGGTTTACGTTAAGGGTGAACTAATCGGGGGGCTAGACATCATCAAGGAACTGGTGGCCAACAAGGAGCTCGAATCTACGCTCAAGGGATAATTCCATCTAACTACAACCTGACCCACGAGACACATAAAAACAGAAACAAACATTTTGCTGAGTCCTAAGTCTTTTGTACAGTTTAATAAAGGATTTTCGCCAATATTTCTATATATGTATGTTCTTGCAAAGGGTGTAAGTGATGGACTTATTTTTATTTCTTAATAACAAAACATTTTTGTTTTTAATCAAGCATGCTAATTGGATTTTAAATGTTTATAATCAAGGCGAACAAATTTGTCTATATAAAAATTTAAATTAATTTATAGGTTTTAAAATCCTTATTGTTCAATAGGTTAACGAATAAATATTTAAAAAGATTATCTTGATGCTAATAAAAATTTAATCAGCCCTGGTGAATGTGTTATGTTGCAGCCCTGGAACTTGTGAAATTAACAGCTGTAGCGCGTCGGCTTGGAAATTATTTTCGCAACTCATATTATTGTCTTAAAAAACACATATTAAAATAATAAGTTTATTGATGGCTGCGAGTAATACAGTTGGAAGTGAGGACCAAAAGCTGTCGGACATATTTTTAAGTGGCTGGAACATCTTTGACGAGCTGGAAGTTACCGAACTGCCCTTCAATGGCAGTGAATTTCAGGTGTGGTATCCCAACTGATGTGATTTTTTTAAATTCTGCCATATCTAACCTTCTAGAACAAAGTAAAGCAGGCAATGAGCCTCTTCGAGCAAGCTACAGTGATTGTTAACCAGGTGAATATGTTCAGTTCCAACGAGATGATCGACGAAGTCTCCACGGAATCGTTGCCTTTTATGCTGCTCCCTTACTTCCTGGGAAAGCTGACCACCAAGATCAACAGCCCCAATAGCACACAATCTATAGATCTGGGGGAAATTTACTTTAAGGACCATCTGCAACGCTGCCAGGAGTACGAACTATGTCCGGCACCAAAGTCTGAAGTGGCCCAGGCAGACAGCCAGGCTGGAAAAAGCGAACAGCGAGAGCTAATAGAGGCAGCCTTCAATAGGAACGACAAAATAGCCCAGTATCGCCGATTGAAAGAGATTGATGAGTATATTGCGAAAATACGTGATGGAGTCAAGAACAAAACGGCTGACGATGAGTCAAAGCGGGCTTTCTTCCTAAAGTATTTGGACAAGAGTATCATAGACTCCAAGCAGGAACTAGAATCATTAGGCGTAATGAAGCAACTGGCCCAGATGCGTCTTTCGCGAATGGCTGGTGGCCAAGCGGACAATGAAGTGGACAGTTTCCGTCCATCAAACCAACATCAACCATCTGTATCGTCCACTTCCCGTGGTCATGGACACAGTCATGGACCCGGACATCACCACCATCATCAGCAGGCCACAAAACCGAAGCCCTTGCAGCCCTTCATTATTACCCGCAATGCCACGCAGAAGGCGGTATTCGGTCTGGGTTACCCAAGTTTACCCATCATGACTGTGAATGAGTTTTACCAGCAGCGTGTCGACGAAGGCATCTTTCCCGACGAGGAGAAAGTGGCCAAGATGAATCAGGAACAGGCTATCGCCGCAGCCCGCGATCCAAACGAACAGGAAGATGAAGAAAAAGCCATCGAGGAACTACAGGCGGAGCAGGATGATCCTGAGTATCTGGACCGCATGAGGCGCATGGATGAGTACAAGGATGTTGTGCGTCGCGGTGACGGAAACCGCCATAACCGTAGTTAAGTATTTTTATAAAAATAAATAAAATGGATGATCTAGAAGATACTATCCTACAATAAACTCATATTTAAGTTTAATTTTTAAAAGGATTTTAATGGACCATAATAGTTTAGGTTGATCATTTTATTAAAAATTAACCTGTATGGGCAGTTTTTTTTACATAACTACATAATATTTCTCAGTTTTTACCTTTTGTAAATAAATACAATTTTTCAATTTAAAAAGTTTCCCGTTTTAGTGTTAGTAAGCGATTATTAGCAGTCCGTCATTTCGCAACACTAACACATTCCAATCCCACCACCAGCAACAACAAAACTCTTCACAAAATTTGAGCAAAAATCACAAAAAGGTCGATTGTTCAACTGAAAAACAAATATATCTTAAAAGATCGAAATTAGGTAATCAGAAATTCACTAAAAGTAAAGTTTGAGCTAATATCTGGTTCTCCGCAGTTAGCAAAATGTCCGTAAGAGATTTCATTAAAGGCCTGCCAATACACGATTCGAGCAACTTTACTCATTTGAGCAACGAGCATGGTATTCGAACGTCGCAAAAGCGGGCCTCCGTCTACCTACCCACCGAGGATGAGCACTCCGAGCAGCTGATCGTGATGGATAAGCGCTGCGTCCTGTTGCGCTATCTCACCCAGCAGTGGGATAAGAAAACGCTCCAGCGGAAGCGGGAGCACGGCGGCGAGTCCGGAAATGGAAATGGAAACACCTCCACGCCCAACGGCACCAACAGCAAAAAGCGTCCACGATTAGACCCCAACGAGCTGAACTAGGCGGCAGGACCTCCGGCTAAGCACACAAAGGACATCCCACAAAGCATTCTCGACCACGAGCTTCGCCAGCACAAACCAACCTTCATTTACATAAATAAATTTAAATAAAATATATTAAGTACAAAGGAGTTGCAGTCGGACGACCTCATCACGAAATCGATAATTCGTAAAAAATTTACTTGAATCGTTTGCCATTTCTCATTCAAAAATAACCTAAGCTATTAGTTTAATCCGAGATGTAACCAAATTGTCATAGCTAAATTATTACGTAGGCCAACAGTATATCAATGAGTTCGAATAATTAGTTGTCTTGAAGAAAAATGCCACACACCTTAAATTTTTTACGGCTGCATGTTGTTCCTAGGTACTCGTTTTCAATACTTAATACTTACCTATGAAAATAAGTTTCCACCATTTGTTGTAATTAAAAATACATTTAAACAACTTACAATGCCTAGCTACATTTAACGAATATAATAGCGTTTAACCTTCTTGCCTGTAAGAAATGCGTTGAGAAAACCAACTCAGGTCACTTCTGTTAAGGACATGGTCCATAACGTACATATTTCATCTGTAGAAAGTTCAACTGCATCCCAAAGACTACAGATTTGTAACAGGACATACATACATGCTTTCAGCTCCAATAGATTTACTTTTAAAGACAAAGATTGGATTTGATTTGACTACTGTACTCTAAAATTAGTGGTGTCCTAGGTCCTTTGGGTCTGGCTTGCCGTATTGCTTCTCCCACCAGGTCACATATTCCTTCTTACGCTGTTCCCGCTTGGCAAAATACTCGGGGTATTGGGCCTTCTCCAGAGGATGCCAATAGTCCAGCAACCAGTCGGGCGGGATCACCTCTCGTTCGAAAGCGCAGCCACCGGCACTGTTAGCAACTAAGTGGATAAAATGTTGGTAAAGTGTACATCCAATAAAAAACCATTTGTTTACAGTTTCGGGGCTGGAAATGCTTCGTCTCAAAGAGCTCCTTCTGTCCGCAGGCAAGGAGTTGGATGCCTTCGCCCAGATCCTTGCAGCGGTTTTCGTCGAACCGTGCGCGTAGCTGAACGGCGCGGTAGCGGTAATCATTGCTGGCGGGGATTTAAAACCAATCAGATGCACTTGCTCATTATATAATCTTCGAACATTTAGCAGCTGCACTCACCGTCGGTCGTACCAGGCCTCCAGATTGCGCAACGCCCGCTTGTACAGACTGCACACCTGGCGCTTGTGCGAGACAATTGCCAAGGGAACTTGGGCCATCGTTCGGGTGTAAATTGGTTAAATTCTATTAATTTGCTACCAAGCCTCGACAACAACAAGACCTGTCAAAAGTCCAGTATGGTAAAGCGCTTTACAAAATTACAGGGTTGGGAAACGTTCAAATCTTTTGAAGATGCGACCACTCTAAAAAAGGTGGTAAATTCAAAAATATTTTATATTTAATTTAAAATTTTTGCGTAAGCTTTAAAAATAAAAGCAGCGCCTGTCTGTACTGTTTTATTTACTATAAATTTGTTTTTGTGACTGAAAACAAAATGGCATTACCCGTATATATGAAAATTATGTTTTTTAAAGTGTAAATGTTTTGAGCCTAATCGGTGCCCAAATAAATGAAAAATGGAAAATAAATTAAATGCATCTAGCGAAATGCTTTAATAAATTATAATTATTAACAAATACACTTAACATAATATATAAAATGATTTTAGTCCTCTAACTGCATAACATCCATTATGCATTGAACAATATGCTCTGGTATATTCAGCGGTGTTTCACACAACTCGCCCGTCTTTTTGTCCAGCATGTAGATTTCGTTGAGCACCCGATCCTCGTGCTCTGGATCTAAGGACGATACGAGGGCCAAAGATCCCTCAGCCAGCTCGGAGAGAATTTGTTCGATATCAGGTTCTGTAGTGGTGGGCGGAATGGGGTCATCAGGAGTTATAACTTCGTGACTATGTTGTTGGTCTTCAAAAAAGTTAATTAAATATGTTTCCGGTCGTCGATTAGGAGTCTCAATTCCGGATTCGACGTCGCTTACATAGGTAAGGGAACCGTCATCCATATTGGTGATAGTTTTATCACGTGGCTTGCTTACAGCTTCTTCGAATTCCATCGGATCATCCATCAGAAGTCCATTAAGTTCAGCCTGTAGCTCTCCCCCTGCTGGTAAATGGCTTCCTGTTTGTTCAGTTTTAATGGCTTTTTCCTGTTTAATGTCCGCCAGATCTGTCTGTCCTTCTGCTTCCACACTTTTAGGGCTCCGTCGTTTAGCCTTGGGTTTTCTTTTGGCAGATGCACTTCCGTCATTCTCATCGGTCTCCAACTCCTTGCGTCTTTTGGACCAGGCCTGCTTGCTAAGCTTCTTATTTGTCACGTGCTCGTTTTCATATACAACATCACCATCGTTCAGAGCTCGAGATGCCTTACTTTGTTGCTGCATTCGCGCACGCTAAAAAAAATATAGTGGAAGTTTACGTATGTGTGTTAATAATAGTTATTTTTTGTATAAACCTTTTTAGGGTTGCCCGGAACAGCACGGGAAATTTCCCTCCACTGGCGATCATTTTCCTCCCGCTCGCGATCCTCTTCCTCAAGTTGATCCTTGAGTTCCTGGATGTTAAAAGCTTTAGGATAGAGTAGCGCCTTGTTGATCAACTGTCCATTGGTGCGCTCTTCTTTTTTATACTTGAGCTTGAGATCTCGACGAGAACGAGTTGGAAACATTTGGCACATCAGCGAGAAATCTGTCCCAATGATCTGAAGGCTTCGATAGAAACGGACTGTCTCATCGGACGTCCAGTAGGGCGTACGTTTGTGGCGTTTATAGAATCCATTATCACCTTTTTAATGAACAAGCAATTAAAAATTCAAATTTGATTTGTGACCAATGTGAAACTTACCCGTTGTTTCGTCCATTAGAATAAGTGAAGAGTTGGCCAACACTTTGCGGGCTTCTACCTCCGCTGTGGTCTCGATTTCAAGGGTTTTCTCATCAATTATCATCTCGCCATTGGCATCGAGCTTTAGTTGAGGGACCAACATGGCAGTTGTGGACTCTCCCTTAGCCTCCAGCAGCTGAGCCATCGAGGGCTTAGCCTCATCGCCGTTGGTCTCGTCCTTGATGGTCGTTACCGCCTGCTTGGGCACCATAGGGTTGTTCTCTGGATTGTAAAAAATCATGTCCATCATCTTAAAAGTGGACTTGTCGGGAACGCCCTTGTTAAAGCGAGTCTCGAAGTCTCGCCGTGCATTTAAACGCTGTCCGCCTTGGTTTTGCGACTTGTCATCGCCTTTTCGCAGCTTACTGCCACCTTCGGAATACGTGGAACACGTAGACTCGGTGCGAATGCGACCCATGCCTGGACTCATGACAGGCGGAAGGTATTTATATGGTGATGGCGGCATGGGTGAGGACACTTGCTGCTGTTGCGGTGTGCCCGACGAGGAACCGCTGAGGTAGCGCTCCCGCCGCGTAGGCGTGGCCGGCGATGAGTAGTCTCCTTCGTAATCACCAGCCATTGGTGAGCCCACAAGGCTATTGCGCCGCTGACCAAATACGGGAATAGGCCGAACACGCTGGCGGGCTTGCGCCTTGCTGGGGGACATGGGAAAGCCATTGGCAGTCTTCTGCAAATCCATTTGAATGACATTGTCCTCAAGATCCGAATGGAAGACATCCTCGAGTTGCCCAGCCGAGCTGGCGGGCATTTTAAAGGCGATTGCATCAGTCTCGAGTTCCACTTCCGAAGGGGGTGTTGCATCGGTAGGGGATTCAGCCACAGCCGCCCCCTTCTCCTCCTCTGGTTCTACCTTCGGCGCTGTTAGCTCCTCCTTGCGTGGCTTGCGCTTGATTAGCGACAAGTTGGCCGGAGCCTTGATGCGCTGGCGCCGCATGGACATCCTGCCTGGGTTCTTTTAGGATTCTTCCAGGCTCAAAGGCAGTTTCACACATTAAATCGAATCAAAATCTACGCAACAAAAACAATGCAGCCGCGACCACGAGTTTCCAAATTGTAGTGTTGGTAACGTCACATGGCAAGACAGTGGGTCAAAATCTCACAAAAGATATATGATAATATTTTCCATTCTAAAAATATGAATAAATTAACTAGTTTTTAGTGGTTAGAAATTGTTTTATTCTTTTAAATATTTTTTTTGTTGCTTTTAATAAAAATAGAGTTACACAAAATATTTATACTTTCAAAATATATGTTTAGATGTCAAACGATTTCGTTTGTGCAGTGTCAGATATGAGGCCTAAAGTTATACTAATTTTGGTTTAAATTATGGCATGATACTTTTTAGTGTTACAAAAAAATTTTGTGTCTTGCAAACATTTGGTAGAATTAAATGTAATATATGTTTTATAAACATTTTATTGTCTAGTTGTTCAAGAAAGTTGGATCGCTCATCACTGATCATTGATCGCAGCTGTCAACTCTCACAAAGGGGTCAGCCAGTTTCCAACACTGCTGCCTGTAACGACATAACAACAACAACAGAAACAGTGGGAATAACAACATAAGCGGCAGACAAATTGCAAGTTGCACGTTTTTTTCAATCGGTCAAACATGATAAGCCCGGCCAGAACATAACCCACCTTTCGTGTAGTAAGGCTTCCGTCAAACCGATCGATTCTGTCCTGACTAAAAGTACTAAATTCCACAAGTTTCAAGGCGGCAAATGTGCCAAGTGGGCGAGCGCACAGTAATAGCGAAGGAGCATTAAAAAAGTCGCCGCACTTTGAGTGAGCTGTTATGCAAGCGGGAGGCCTACGGCCAAATTGAATTAGCCGGCATGCTGCTCAATCGATTTGTGCTGGCTATTAAGAACCAGTCGCGGGAGACGCTGCGCGCTTGGAGCTACCAATGCGAGTCTATCTTTGCCCAGCGGTCGCGCCGCATTCAGCAGTTGTTTAGTTTCTACCAGTCTGTATATGGAACTCAGGGACTAAAGCAGCTATGGCGCGCCTACTACCGCCGAGAACTGCAGCCCCCTCTCCGGGGAATGGTGATGAGTGCAGTGGGACTCGTCGGGCTAAACATCAAGCGACTCGGAAGTGATGGCTTTGACTGGAACAAGGAGCGTTTGTCTTTGTCCAACTTTGATCTCTGTCGCAGGGACATTGAGTTCATCAACACCTTGCCTCATAATCAGCTGTGCGACCGCTGCCAGTCCAAGAAGATGAAGTACTGCTACTGTCAATTGGGCAACCTGCGTTGCAAAAAGGGTCAAACCAAGCCATCCACCAGCAAAGAGGCGGAAGCAGATTCGAGCATCAGCAATTGCCGGCAGCCTCTGGATCTAGATGTGCGCAATGCTCCACCGGGTACGGTAAGCATCCAGGCCCAGGACGACCACAAATGGGAGCCATACTTTAGTAAGAACGAGTTCAGCATTTGGCGACGCGAGGAGCGCTCCTCCTTATACTCATATAAGGTGATTTTTTTTTTTTTTTTTTTGAGTTTAACACATCCTAACCCTCAACATTGCCCGTCCAGGTTTATGCCCGTTTCGACGACATCACAGCTGACGATTTTCTTCATGTTCAAACCGACTTGGATTACCGCCGCCAGTGGGACGATACGGCCCTGAGACTGGAACTCATCAGCGAAGATCCGGTGCCGGGCAGCAATTCGCATCTGATATACTGGGAGATGCAGTGGCCGCGACTTTTTGCCAACCGTGATTACGTCTATTGCCGTCGCTACATCAAAGACGACAACAAAAAGTTAATCTTCATTTGCAACCGTGGGGCCAAGCACAACAGCTACCCGGCGTTGTCTGGAAAAGTGCGAGTCACCGATTACTGGAGTCTGATGGTCATCAAGCCTTTCCGGGGTTTTCATGAGCCGGGCTTGCACTTTGTCCTTACATACTATGATGATCCGGGCGTACCCATTCCGCAGAATATCAAGTCCTGGGTGACGCAGAAACAGATGCCGGAGTTTCTTACTAAGATGTATGTGGCCACGAAGAACTATGCCTGTTCCCGGGCTATAAAGATGAAGGATATGTTCCACGGTTTCGCACTTATCAACGACGAGTATACGGCAAATGAGCAGCGCGGAAGTTGGCTTGGCAGTTTAAGTCGGCGCAAGGTCAACAGTAAATCCGAAGCAGAGCGCTAACTCACCAGCCTGGGTATCCTTCGTCCCCCCTTTTCTTACCTAGACTCCTTCACCAACAGAGCCACCAATCAAACGATCCCCTCGCCCAATTTCATCTTCCGTTTATCCGTTCCTCAGACTTTAAAGTCAATTTAGACGAGAAAAATCGAATCCACTGGAAACCAGAGCAAGTGTGCAATAGCTGTTAGCATTTTTCTGCTCTTCGAATGTGTGCCACATTGATGAGGAACTTTTAATATATATCTATCGGCTATATAGCTATACCAAAATATATTAAGTTTAGAAATTGTTTTAAAAGCAAATAGAAACTATTGAAATTACTTGTACAATAAAAAAAATGGAAATATATATACACAGGGAGTCTGAAGTCTATTATAATGAAATATTTCCGCAACTGTTGAAGCTTTACGCCGTATGCCACACAATTATCTACAACGGATCGGGAAGCTAATTTATGTTTTAATAATTAAAACATATGTCCTTTGTGGCGAGAAAGCTCTGATTATCCAATCATGCTGGTGTGCTTTTATCATTTAATTACTATTCAAAATCTTTGCCCGAATTTTTTGCTAATCTTATCATGGCATACGAGTACAAATAAAATTTAACAATACTTACATATATAAAATCTATAGTGTGTAACCGAAAGTATATAAGGTTTAACATTATTTATTAGTATTCTATTCAGTAAGAAAATGAACTATATTCTATATAATATTTGAATTTAAAGGCTGTTACTTAACAAAAAAAATACAGTTAGGGCTAATACAAAAAGTAAGATAGCGAAATAGCAAAATAGAAGTATCATTACACTTGGCAGCAGCGTATCACAGTTCTGTGCGGTCCGCTGCGCTCGGCGGATTGTTCATATAGGCAATAAAGTCCTTGCTGGTCCGTCCGCCATTGTAGTCCAGTTTGGTTTTGAGGTAAGAGAAGTATATTATGGTAGGATACCCTCGCACATTATGCTTTCCACAAAGCACGGAATGTTTTGTACAGTCAACAGCCACAAATGCAACACGAGGATCATCCTGCAATGCTGTGGCAGCCGCAGTGAACTCAGGCTTGGTGTGCTTACAGTGTCCACACCCTAAAAATATAGTTTTTAGTAATTTGGGTAAAATTTCATTAGCCAAAAATCTGGAAACTGAACTTACAAGGAGCATAGAACATGACCAACACGTGCTTCTTTCTTTTAAGCGTCGAGCTGAACGTGTCGTCATCCAAGAAAAGCACTTCTTTGCTGTCCTCCTCCTCCTCCCAACTCTTCTCTGGCGGTGGTGGCGGTGGCGGCTCCTTGGGATTTTTCATAAACTCAACAATTTTAGATGCCTCGCGCACATTAACCTCAAACTTAAATACGCCGTTCGAGAAAAATTTCACAGTAGGATAGCCCTTAACTTTGTACTTCTCGGCTATTGAAGGCTCCTTGGTGGCATCCAGTGCAGCCAAGAGTCCGGGAATCTTATTCTGCTTCATCTCCAGGGCAGCCTTTTCATATTCAGGCTTCATGCGCTTACAGTGTCCGCACCAGGGGGCATAGAACATAACCAGAGCAGACTTCTCGTCCTTTAACGCGGGTTCGAAACCTTGCGATGTGAGATGGACAATCTCCGAATTTGTATCCGCCGACCATTCGGGCTCCTTGGGCTTTGGCGTGGGCTTGGCATTTGGGTTGAGCATAAAAGATACCAACGCATCCTTATTGTTTTCACCCTCATAAGTAAATCGAAGTTTGCCATTTTCAAAGTAGATCATGGTGGGAAAACCTGTAGAAAAAAGGTCGTTAAATATGAAAAAACCAAAGCAGTGATATTTGGCTCACCAGTTATATTGAACATTTTACGTATTGGAGCATTTTCCTGCCGCTCAACATTCATTGCCGCCAGGATATAACCACCCTTGGTCTTAAGCTCCGTGGCCGCATTGCCGTAGTCCGGCTTCATTTTCTTGCAGAAACCGCACCAGGGCACATGGAACATAACGAGCATGGGCCGGATATCTTTGCGTAGGTGTTTTGTGAAGGATGATGCGTCGCTGAAGTGCAGAACATCCACCCCGGCGGGATCCTCCTCCCAAGGGAGATCCCCGGAAGGATCCCGCATAAAAGTTACCATGGAGCCTACGCTAAGCTGCCGGTCGTAGTCCTTGTGAAAGTCTCCATCCTTATAGTGCTTGATGGCGTAAGGATCCGGTGAGACTTTAAGCTTCTTGCACAGTTTCTTACGATCATGATGCCCGCAATCCATGAGCAACATCGTTCCCGTTCCCCGTATCGCCTCCGCCGCCTCTCTGAAAACCTTCAATTCACTGGCAGCGGCCTTAGCATTGGTCACGTAAAGTGCCAGGACATTGTTCTTGGTCCGCAGCAGCTTCTTAAAGTCCTTGTACTCCGTGATGTCCTCCTGCACCGCCGACGTTTTCGTTTTAGCGGCAACAAGTGCGACTAGCAAAAGGAAAACAAACTGGCCCGTGATCCACATCAGAGCGCTTGATCTTTGAACTTATCGGTAATGGAAATGCTTGTCTGCAGATATATTATTTAGTGTACATTAGCTAGTCATGTTTTATACAGATAAAAGATTTTGATTTAACAAATAAGTCTGCAGGTAGAAGACGTGGACTAGCTGAAAAATCTATCGATAGCTGGCTTGGAAGAGATGGTATTAAGAGCCTGCTTAAAAGTGCCGGCTGTTTGGAACTTAACTACACCATCTCTAGTAATGGGTTAAATCACCAAGCCTTGCTTTAATATAGCCAATAAGATATTATAATGGACTATTAATAAATCATTAAGCTGTAGTAACTTTCAATTATTTTTATTATTCATACCAACCCATATAATCGATCTAACTTAAGCAATTGATGTTTAGTACATATGTTTAATTTTTATTTTAATTTTAGGAAGTAAAGTAAAATTGTAATTTTAAATATCTTTCTAGCAGCCACGTTCGACAAGCCAAATGGTCACCACTTCCTCTTTTGCGACTATCGATAATCCAAACGCCAGCTCTTGTACGTGGCGGGCGACAACCCTAGCAGCCAGCTCTGACACATTAACACGGTCAAGAAGAAGAGCAGCAGAGGCAGCAGCAAAAGAGTTTTCCTGGTCTCGCCGCAATTAATTAGTGTTTTCGCAGACAGCCATAGTTTGCCCAAACCGTGGAAGATGCCTCTCAAACTGGACATCAAGCGTCGCCTGACGTCGCGATCGGATCGGGTCAAGTGCGTTGATCTCCATCCGGCGGAGCCGTGGATGTTGTGCGCCCTGTACAATGGCCACGTACACATCATGAATTACGAGAATCAGCAAATGGTAAAGGATTTCGAGGTCTGCGACGTGCCTGTGCGCTCCGCCCGCTTCGTGGCACGCAAGAACTGGATCCTTACCGGATCGGATGACATGCAAATCCGGGTGTTCAACTACAACACGCTTGAGAAGGTGCACTCGTATGAGGCTCATTCGGACTACCTTCGTTGCATTGCGGTGCATCCTACACAACCATTGGTACTGACAAGCAGTGGTAAGTGAACGGTGAAAAGATCTGTTTCCCAATTCATCGCCCAATCCCTGTGTTTACATTGCGTGCCTGCTGGGAAGTATGCTTTGGTTGTGTGTCTGACTCCTACCTCCTCTTTTACCACCAGATGACATGCTCATTAAACTTTGGAACTGGGAGAAGATGTGGGCCTGCCAACGTGTTTTCGAGGGTCATACGCACTATGTCATGCAGATCGTGTTCAACCCGAAGGATAACAACACCTTCGCCTCTGCTTCCTTGGATCGCACGGTAAAGGTATGGCAACTGGGTTCGAACTTTGCCAACTTTACGCTAGAGGGACATGAAAAGGGCGTTAACTGTGTGGACTACTACCATGGTGGCGACAAACCCTATCTTATTTCTGGCGCCGACGATCGATTGGTAAAGATTTGGGACTACCAGAACAAAACCTGCGTGCAAACTTTGGAGGGACACGCGCAGAACATCTCAGCCGTTTGCTTCCATCCAGAATTGCCCATCGTTTTGACAGGATCCGAGGATGGTACCGTTCGTATTTGGCACTCAGGAACTTATCGCCTGGAGACCTGTCTTAACTATGGCTTTGAGCGTGTTTGGACTATTTCCAGTATGAGGGGTACAAACAACGTGGCCTTGGGTTACGACGAGGGTTCCATCATTATTAAGGTAGGCCGCGAGGAGCCGGCAATGTCGATGGACGTGGTCGGAGGCAAGATTATCTGGGCTAAGCATTCGGAAATGCAGCAGGTTAGTAAAGATCGGTTACCCTTTTATTTTAATAATATATTTATTTAACCCTTTTAATTCGATCAACAGGTCAACTTAAAAACAATTGCCGATGGAACAGAAATTAAGGATGGCGAGCGCTTGCCTGTGGCCGTAAAGGATATGGGAGCTTGCGAGATCTATCCGCAGACTATTGCCCACAACCCCAACGGTCGTTTCGTCGTAGTTTGCGGTGACGGAGAGTATATTATTTACACATCGATGGCGCTGCGAAACAAGGCCTTCGGGTCCGCCCAAGAATTTGTGTGGGCGCTGGAAAGCAACGAGTATGCCATCAGGGAGAATAACGGCACCGTTCGCCTCTTCCGCAACTTTAAGGAGCGCAAGAGTTTCACCCCTGAGTACGGAGCAGAAAGCATATACGGTGGCTACTATTTTGGCGTAAAGACCTCCTCCGGATTAGCTTTCTACGACTGGGAGACATTACAGCTGGTGCGACGCATAGAGGTCCAGCCAAAGAACGTGTTTTGGAACGAGAGTGGTAGCCTAGTATGTCTGGCCACAGATGACTCTTATTTTGTTTTAGGTGTGGACACAGCTCAGGTTGCCAATGCTGTTGAGTCCAAGGAAGGGTTAGAAGATGACGGTGTGGAAAGTGCCTTCAACGTATTGGGTAAGTAAAATAATAATAGATGCCATTTAAAAATTAGAACAAGATAAACATCTATTATCTTATCTTGATAATATGTGCCGGGCCTTTTTCCAAAAAAAGAAAAAAATTCCCATTGTGATTCATTACTTTAATGAACAAAAAAGAAACAGTCTAATTTGGTTACATATTTGGTTACATCTTTCAAATATTTTACCTTTTTTTATATTTGACAGATTATTTTTACCATTCTAATCGTTTTCGTTCCAGGCGAGGTTTCGGAGTGCGTCAAGACAGGCTTATGGGTTGGCGACTGCTTTATCTACACCAATTCAGTAAACCGCATTAACTACTATGTAGGTGGAGAGATCGTAACAGTATCCCACTTGGATCGCACAATGTATCTGCTGGGTTATGTGCCCAAGGACAACCGCATATATCTGGGTGACAAGGAGCTGAACGTGATCAGTTTCTGCTTGCAGCTATCCGTGCTGGAGTACCAGACGGCGGTGATGCGCCGAGACTTCGAACGCGCGGACATAGTGCTACCCACCATTCCTAAGGAGCACAGAACCCGCGTGGCACACTTTTTAGAGAAACAGGGCTTCAAGTCCCAGGCACTGCAAGTATCTACCGATGCCGACCACAAGTTCGACTTGGCCCTGCAGATAGGAGAGTTGGAAATTGCCCTTAAGCTGGCCCGCGAGTCGGAGAATTCCCAGAAGTGGTCCCAGCTGGCGGATGTGGCAGCGAGCAAGAACAATATGGCTTTGGTAAAGGAATGTATGCAGAAGGCGAACGATTTCAGCGGTCTTTTGCTGCTTTCAACCGCTTCTGGAGATGCTCAGTTGCTTGAAGATGTTGGCACCGCCGGTTCGATACAGGGACGCCACAATCTCGCCTTCCTGGCAGCCTTCCTGCGTTCGGACGTGCAACGTTGCTTGGAGATTCTCATCGATACTAACCGCCTACCAGAGGCAGCGTTCTTTGCCCGCACCTACCTGCCAAGCGAGATGTCGAGGATTGTGGAGCTGTGGCGCGAAAAGCTTGGCAAGGTCAATGAAAAGGCTGGTCAGTCGCTAGCTGATCCGGCTCAGTATACAAATCTCTTCCCGGGCTTGGGCGACGCGCTGCGCGTGGAGCAAAATTTGCAGGAGGAGCGGGCACGTAAGGCGCCGGCGCGCCTAGCCGCGCAACTGCCCCTGAACAGCGAGCGAAATCCCCTCCAGGAACTTATTGCCGCCGAGCAGGGTGGTGCCGGTCAACAGCCGGAGGAGAAGGTGAAGCCAACTTTCGTTCCCGCTCAAGCTGCTATTCCCAGCAGCCAGGTGGCCGAGCCTACCTCCGCCGCGGATGACGACGACGATTTAGACTTGGAGATAGATGGCATCACGTTGGATGACAATATTGATACGACAGATGTGAACCTGGATGACGACTTTTTAAGCGACGATTAGGGCGGGATCGAATCCAGATCTAGAATACCATATAAAACTATCGTTTACTGCTACGGGAGTCCCACATTTTGAGCCACAGAATTCCGCGCATACATTCACATTTGATTTGATTGAATGTTCTTTAAATATATATCTATTAATATTATGTACAACAGTAATGGAGCAAAAACTGCAATAAATACTTATACAACAAATTCAAATTATCCGGGCGTTTTACTGTCCTTTAAACATATCAGCGGAAAATATATCGATATTGGATAAATTTTAACATCAAGGAGATATACTTTGCAAATTTATTTTGCGTTGGTACCTGTATTCTTGGCGTATATTTTTAAATTTTAAAAAATAATATAAAATTAAAAATATCGAATCATGAAAAATCTATTTTCTTTGGGAAAATTCTAAAATAAAATAAAAAAAACAAATATTTTATGTGAATAGACTACAAAATTCATAAAGTACAATAAAGTTCAACTTAATTTGATTCTAGTTTGTATAATTTTGTGGTAAGACTATTATATATTATATATTCAGATATTTTTAATATGGTTTAATGAACACCTTATAGTTCTAAGTTAGTTCGGCGATGGGCTTACTAATTAAATAATTGAATAAAATAAAATTTAAAAACCATTTTATTGTGGTGAGAGTTTATAAAAACAACTGAGTAGGCCATCGGATAAAAGTCTGGCAACCACGACCATCAGTATACATACATACATCTCTAATTCGTGTGTGCGTCTGGATTTTGCTGTATTTTTTATTTAAGAATGAATTATTAACTAGCCATTAATAAATTATTATTAAATAAAAAACAGTTAAAAACAGCGAATCAACCGTAAGTATCCACCAAAGTCGCCGGCGCCGGAAGTTCACCACTTCATGCCCGCTACTTGTATCGATTTTTCAGCCACATTGTACCTCAATAACATAACCAGATACACACCGAGCCCTCTCGTAAGCCGAGAAAAGCAGGAACACCATGGACCAGGAGAACTTCCACGGACATAGCCTGCCGCAGCAGCTGCAGAACCTTCACATCCAACAGCAGTCGCACCAGAACCCCAGTCCAGACGGGATTCGCTCCGCGTCGGCAGTATGAGAACATTGGCGGCATGGGCAATGGCAATGTATCCGGTGGGAGTCCGGTGAAAGGTGTCCCGATGGGGCAACGAACCTTGAAGATGAAGAAGGAGAAGGTGGCCGCGCACGTGCCTCAGTTGCCACTGTCTAGCCAGCTTCAGTTGTCGGAGCTGGGTGATCCCTCCTTGGCGGGAGGATCAGGGGGACAAGGAGTAGCCGGCCTGATTGGGGGAATCATGCCCAGTGACGAGACTCTGAAATTCGTCAGCGAGACGGATGCTAATGGACTGGCTATGAAGACTCCCGTCAGTATTCTGCAAGAGCTGCTTAGCCGGCGTGGTATTACGCCGGGCTACGAGCTCGTCCAGATCGAGGGCGCCATTCATGAGCCGACGTTTCGGTTCCGTGTGTCATTCAAGGACAAGGATACGCCCTTCACGGCCATGGGTGCTGGACGCTCAAAGAAGGAGGCCAAGCATGCGGCGGCTCGTGCGCTCATCGACAAGCTAATCGGCGCGCAGCTACCGGAATCGCCCAGCAGCTCAGCCGGTCCATCGGTGACTGGGCTGACGGTCGCTGGAAGCGGTGGAGATGGCAACGCTAATGCCACGGGTGGAGGAGAGTGAGTTATTCTGCTGGGATCTCAATTCCTCATGCGCTAACTAATCATTTACTCTTGTGTTGAAACAGTTCCGGTGATAAGATCGTGGGTAATCCTATTGGTTGGCTGCAAGAGATGTGTATGCAACGGCGATGGCCACCACCATCATACGAAACGGAAACGGAAGTTGGTCTGCCACACGAGAGGCTTTTCACAATCGCCTGCTCAATCCTTAACTATCGCGAGATGGGCAAGGGCAAAAGCAAGAAGATAGCTAAGCGCTTAGCCGCCCACCGCATGTGGATGCGGCTGCAGGAGACGCCCATAGATTCGGCCAAGATCAGCGACAGCATCTGCGGCGAGTTGGAGGGCGAAGTGAGTACCATCCAAGACAGCGAACGATACGTGCGCATTTCTGAAGACTTTAAGTTGCTTGAGATTTAACCCATGACATAGACTCCATAGCTTCCTAAAACTTAACTACCTTTATGCATGTTTCCCATTGACACACTGATTCAATTTAATTGGTTTCTGACTGTGTTAGTTTCAATTTTTATGTAGTAAATTGTTTGTACTAAAGCTTTATAAAATTTCAATAATTTCTTGGATTCAACTTAAATATATGATTTTTTACGCCAAATAATGTTTTGAAATGTGATATATCTATTTAATTTCTCTTAATTTCCTTACCGCTTTTGGAACTTTAAACTTTACCTTTTCTTATTCGTTTGTATAGTCGAATAATGTATTTTAGAGTATGTATAGAAATGATCACGAGTCCAGTTGGTCTAGTCATATCCATATCCATATACACCAAAGCTGACGCCTACAAATAGCAAAAGACTGTAAAGTCTTCAAATTTGTAGTTAAAATGTAATAAATTTATTGAAATCGACAAATTTATATTGATTTTTTTAGTTGCAAAGAAATTTAGTTTTAATATAAATACATATGTAAATTTCCGCCTTAATGTAGAAAAACCCCATACATTTATTTTTTAACAAACTACCATTGGTTATGGTTTTGTTTTTTAGTATAAGTAATTTATGATCAATAATACAAATGTTGCTGAAATTTCAAAACCTGGTTTTTATTTGTTGACATATAAACTATTTGTGGTTTTGTTTGGTTGCCTTCTCGTCATTATCATATTTCCTTATCTATTTAATGTATTCAGAACTTAAAGGCTGGCGTAATGCTCGACCTTTAATAGCACCCTTTAAGATATGTTTCAACTCACCATTTGCGTGGGTAATTTCAATTGTGTGCAAACTTAAACAGAGACAAGAAATCAACAACTTTGCGCTCTTACTTACAGCCCCGCAATAGCGATAATTATTTTGGTGAATTGAAAGATATCTCTGTGCCGACACTGACCACGCAGCACAGTAACAAAGTTTCCCAGTTTCATAAAGTATTAAAAAATGCGACTGGTAAAAAACTTCTCAAGTTACAGGTAAATTTCACTCTCACTAAATAACATTTATATTGCAAATATATATGAATATAAATATATTTAAAATATATTTTCAAATAAAATTTCCAGATTAAATCTATAGTCGAACTTTTAAACTTTAAGACAGATTTAGAAATTTAGGTGCTCATTTGTAACAAATGTACTTTAAGCCTACTTTGCTATTTACATAATTCCTAATTCTCTTTCCCCGTTATACGCTTTAAATTTAATCCAACAATATATTAATCTAAAATTTTAGCTAATTAATGTTCGACTCTAAATTTAATGAACTTTGTGAACAAGACGATAATTCGAAAAATTTTGAGAAATTACTAATGTGGTTAAATATGTTTCGTTTCCAGAAGACTTGCCTAAAGAGCACTAAAATCGACTTCATCAAGCTGCTAGGCGAGATAGCGACCGAGAACCAGTTCGAGGTGACCTACGTGGACATCGAAGAGAAGACTTATTCTGATCAGTTCCAGTGTCTGGTTCAGCTCTCCACGCTGCCCGTGGGCGTTTGCCACGGAAGCGGTCCAACGGCCGCCGATGCCCAGCGACATGCCGCCCAGAATGCTCTGGAGTATTTAAAGATCATGACCAAGAAATAGGTGCAGTCAACTGCATAGCAAAATCTGAACGCACATCACGACCACGAGGATTTGCCGCAAGGGTTTGCGGATTTGAGTATCACAGCTCAACAGGCAATGTCCAAAGCACCAATTTTCGGCAAAGAGCAACGGCGATATTGTTTTTTTTTTGTTCACTTTTAACGATTCCTTCGATTAGACAGACGACTTTATTCACTATATATGTAAATGTTCATATACACTGAACAACGTATGTACACTTTCATATACAGGCAAGTGTGTAATCTTTATTGGAATCAAATAGTCGCTTTGTGTAAATTGTGTAAAACTCCTAAAAAAAAAAAAAAATGAAATACAAAACCAATAAATCCAATGAAACTAACTAACTAGGCTTAAGTTGTTCTGTGGAGGTGAAAAGGCTTATGAATATATTAGTATTTCGGCAATCGGTACTTTAGTTGCATTTTTATTTGAATGGGGGCTAAAATTGCTTTTGACTTTTAATTAAAAAAATTGACAATTGGAATTATAGTTTAGAACTTTCAATTTAAATGGATCTACTTGGCATATTCCTATTTTTTTTCTATTAATCGAAGTTCATTACAGATAGTTTATTATTTATAACAAATTTAAAATCAAAGAAGTCTTAGACGATACCAAAAACTATGTCGCCAATCCTTACTTCAATCAAGAAGTTATTGACATGCCGATGCTTTATTAAAATTAGTAGGTTAATACTTAATCTATTTATATTCTAATCTATGTTTTTGTAGTCGTAACGTTTATTTCTTCTTTCGGTCCTGCGTACACTTGGGGCAGAACCACTTCCCTTTTGGCTTCGTGGTGAGGCCAACGCAGGCGAAGTGGAACCACTCGATTGGGCACTGAAAAGTGGTTTGCATATACAATTAATTATTACCAGGTGCATAGAAATGGGATACTTACGTCAGGATTGTCGCAGCCAATCATCTCGCCATATGACACCTGATGGCACAGACAATATGTTGGCTCATTCGGGTCGACAGGCATGTCCATGACGTCGCTGGGATGCGTGGCGGCCGTGTGGCATGATTCTTTTTCTGAGTCATCCACTTCGACGGTTTTCTAAGTGAATACGATTATAAGAAGTGTGAAAAAGGTTTAAAAAGTTAAAAGCATGCAGATAAATAAGTGAAAATGAAAACGATAGTGTGAAGGCAATGGAGAATGCAGGATATTAATGGGGATAAGCTGGAAATTTAAAAGTAATTGATCTATATTGGGCCAACCAAAACTGGGATTTAACAAACTAAAATTCTAACAACTTGAAGATGATAATGTGGATGGTTTACCTTTTGTGCGCCCCCTTGCGAGGTTTCTTTTTCTTGATTTACCTTAGACTTTTTCTTTTTGGTACCTTGCCCAGCATTGCTGCTCGAATTGAGACTGGTATTGGCGGTGGTCTGGTTGTTACCACGCCCAGTATCCTCATCCGAAGAGGCGGACCTTTTCTTTTTACCTGTTGTCTTGCTGTCTTTTGTCTTTTTGCGACCCTCTGCAAAAAACAGTTGAAGATTTAGCTTATGATATGTAAGAAACCTATGATCAATCTTACTCTTGGCCACCACTTCCTCAGATTTGGCGCGCGTAGAAGAGGCCTTCTCCTGGATCTCGCCTTCGAAGCGAGCCAGGTCATTGTCCAATCGGCGGATCTGCTTGTCTACCAGTTCGTAGGTCTGAATGGCCAGCTGCACCTTATCGTCGCTGTATTCCTTGGCCTTTCCGAAAAGCGCCTTGATGTCCTCTTGGCGCTCCTTCCTTTCCTCGTCGTTCATGGCTCCGTTCTCACCCAACTTTCTCATAAAGTCTTTCGCATGACTGTCTATGCTTTTCATTGCGGTTTGGGCGCGATCGTCCAGTTTTCGCATCAGCTTAAAATTTCGCTCCAGTTCCGTGGGCAGGCTCTCTAAGCCTATTCAATTATTCGAAAAATAAACTATTTTTGGGTGAAACATATAAACCTACCGTCCAGATAGTTTTCTAGGTATATAGCTGAGGACATTCTTTGAATAACTGATAGATTTTATCAAGCAATTTAGAGCGTAAAAGATAAACCCCAGCGTCTATTTACGATTTGCAACAGCTGTTTTTGATGCACGGATTGGCTAGAGATGACAATTGATAATTGTTGCAAGAGCCTATCGATAATTTGAATTTTTTTTACAACAAACACCTAAGGATGATTTCTCTTAAATTTATATTAAATTTACTTTTGCTATATTTTGGTCATAACTGCAGTTATAGAGTCTAAAAAAGAAAAAATGTAACTTATAAAAAAGAATCAGCAACAGATGTTTCTGGTTCGTGTGGTTAATTTTACAGTGGTTGGCAACTCGAACTCTGGGAATGGCAATCATTTGTTTGGATCGCTTTTTTAAGACTTGAATTCAGTATTTGAGGATGACCGCTAGTTCTGGAGGATCTTGGATCAACGCCATTTATGATGAGGTAGCCCTTGAGGGTCTAGAGGGGGTGACATTGCCCTGTAAGAATGATTTACATGCATTTAAAACGATGTATAAACCAAGTAATCCCTTATATTATTTTTAGATCTCTGGGACCTGTTGGCCAGACGACTAGAGTTTGCTCCCGCTCCACTGCCTGATCGCATTCGTGAGCAGACGTGGACTTTGCTGCTGCGGACACCTTCTCATAAGATCGAATTCTTTGAACTGCCGGTGGAGCGACCACTGATGCCATACTATGATCGCATCAACGACATGGACGAGCAACTGGGGGTGCCCGTGGTGCCGGAACAGTGTCCCTTCATGTTGTATCCACCCGCCTACGTGCAAGAGGGCGACATTAAAGGCAACTGCACCGACTTTAAGTCCCGAAAACGAATAGCTTCCAGCGATCTGCAGGGGTTGAATGCAACTCAAGCCACCGAACAGTGGGCTGGAAAACTTGTCGTGGTAGCCTCGCAGGAACTTCGAGAGACTGCTCTAACAGCCGATAACCTCATGATGCCCGAGAACTTGCCTTTGCCCAACTACATCTTCCTGGAGGCAATCGGACGGTCACGCTACAGCGGACAAACCACCGGAGGCCCTTGGTCGCTGATGAACTACAGCAAGGATACAGGAATCCTCTTCTACATCAAGTAAGTAACAGTGTGCACTGAAATGTAATTACCTTTCGGATTTACTTAATTGTTATAATAATTTACAGAAACAAACTAATAAATCTGCAGTTGATCATTGCCCAGAACTATAATGAAATTAACAAGGGGCGCATTTTAGTATCTTCTCTACTGATGCTGCCCCGCTTTTACCGGATCTACAAAAACCACTCGCAGGAAAATCTCGAAAAGCTATACTTGGAGATAATGCGATCCAGCAGTCGGCAGGTTCCCGTGTCCGAAATAACCGAGTTGTTGGGCCGCCCCACCAATTTCAAGACGAAGAAGCTGCTTGTGACACACGCCTTTCGTAAGTTTTTTGAAACCAAGCAAGTGGAGAGGCCCAATCATACATTGACCAAGTCGGGGAAACAGTCCAAGGCGACCACACGCAAGGTGACTGTAATACAACTGCGGAATCCAGATATGCAGTTAAAGGACTTATACAAAAACGAGGAAAACGAGGAGAATTCAGTGTCAGAGTTCTTGGATTTAGGCCATTGCTATTTAGATATGCCCCCGGAGGAAGAGGTTTTTCGCGCCGTAGCTAGATTCGGCAAGCGTGGTCTTAACAGCAACGAATTGTGCCACTATACGGGTATTAACGCCACATCAATGCGACATTTCGTCAAGCGTGCAAAGAAAAATGGCGTTTTCCGGGAGTACTCTGAGCAGGTGGGAAAGAGCCGGCGATTCCGCTTTGTGGCAGTTGGTCACTTAGGGGACCTCGCAAAAGATGACACGGTTAAAAAAAAGAATTTAGAGATCAAGTGCAAGGATGAGCCGGTAACTACATTCATTTCGTCATTTTCCCATCTCTTAAAAATAATGTACTCTGCTCTAATCTAATTAAAATTTTGTCTCTAGCATATTACCGAAAGCACTGATGTACTGCTGAAGGACATGCCCGAGATTGTGACAAATGCCCGACCCATGGCGTTTAAAATTAAAAAGACCAAAGTGGCCAACCAGACGCAGCGCCAAATGAACCGCCAGAAAATGATTGTACGACAGATCGACCAGAATTGTCTGGTGGCCCTGTACCGGTTGCAAAAGGCTCTGCAGGAAACGGAGCGGCAGGCTGGATTCAAGGACAGTCTTTGTCGACGCTCATTAATGCGTCTGCTGCGTCCTATGGTGGAGGATCATATAATAAACGTGTTCGAGATCACTCTTAATTATAATCAGCAAGTACGCATCTATCGTTTCGCTACGCATCCAAAGATTGGACTTGACCACCCGGTTATGAAGCGTGAAATTGCCAAGCTTAAGAGCAACTTCCATTTGATATCCGAGGAGCGAATGAAACGTCCATCGCAGATGCATCCAAGGGAGCGCAAAGAGGTACTTGCTCGTCGAAAAATGCTGCCAGAAAGGCCAGGTGCGGTCTTCAAGACACAGGCGCCGAAACTCTTCCTGGCAAAGACGTTGCACGAGTTTCTTTACTATCTGCACCATGAGCTGCCGCATAAACAACAGGCTCTAACCATGTCCGCTGATCTTGTACAGCAATGGCAGAAGTCAGAGCCAGCACTGCAACCACGCCAGTTCTTCGACGAATGGCAAGCTAATGAAAACCAAGTAGTTCCTTACACTGAGGATATTGGTTGGCGCACTTTTATACCTCCCTTGCCGCGTTATGAAGACAAACCATCTGGCTGGCTGTACTTCATGGATGCAATGGACCGAATGCCGCTCTCCCTATTTATGCGTATCTGTCGTATTGAACGCGAAACCAACGACGAGTTGCGGCTACAGCTTCAGCATCCCATCCGTCAGCATTACCTGCTTTCCCAGCTCAAATTGGAGACGATTGTGCCACGCCTAAAGTTGCAGCAGTTGTATGTGGGTACCCTGCGACTTCTTAACAATATGGGTTTGATTCAGGTGAGAGACTATGCCACTTATAGTGTTTACTTTTAATTACTTAAAACAGCACATTTTTTTAAATTGCAATTTTGTTTGTCTCAGGTGAGCGAGCAAAAGCTTGGTCGGGACTCCTTGCACCGCTGGGTTTACCTGAATCAACGCACCAGCTTACTCGACACTACATCCAGCACTGAACACAACTACATGCAAGTGAGCGCTGATCGCACGTACACAAAGCTCAGCTTTGAGTTTTCTAACGTAGAGCAATTGGATAACTACTGGGCGAAACTACAGCACATATGTATATACACGAAGCTGGGATACCGCAAATCTCTAAGCACGCAGAGGAATCTTCCGGAGCGGCTAAAGGGGCTAGTCTTTCAGCCAACCGTGGAGTTTGATCAGGCCGTTGAGTTGGACAACGGAACTGTACCGGGCGATCATTTGGGAGCTGCAGGATTGAACTCTCATTTATTCGCTCACCATTTTCGTCATTGGTCGTGGGTTCAGCGCCAGAATGGTGGCAAATCGAATGCAGCGAGAGAAAAAGCAAAGAGGCCAGTCCGAAAGCGGGCAGTAATTACACGTCTTAAGATTGGTCCTCGACTAGCTGTACGCAAAACCCGTGAATTGCCTGATGGTAAAACTATCAAGAAGTCGTCCGGTCCGCGTGACGACATCGACCGAGATGCTCTGCGAAATATGCGGACTCTGCGAGTTAAATGGGCTCCGGAGGAGGATCGCCTGCTCAAGATGGGTCGAGCCGTCTACATGTTCATAGATGCACCCACGATGACCCTGGCCCTTTGTGACTTGGCCATCGTGTGTCGCGATTTGATACGACGCTGGCTGGGCATTTGCAACAAGACAACTCAGTCGTGCGTGCGGCGCGTTCAGTTTATGGTAAAGATGAAGCGCGACATCCCGGACGTGCCCAGCTGGATCTACGCAATGCAGACACAGCCACAGTTCACCACTGTCTATAACGATCGTTTCCTGGGCCAGCTGAAGCAGGACTATCCCAACAAGAACGATTTCCAAGGAGCGCTCATGACTCACTTTGCCCTAATGATGGCTAAACTCCAGCGAATGATCGCAAAATCGGTAAGCTTTTAAATCTTATTTTAATTTAATGAAGAATTTTCCAAGAAGTCTTTAGATCATCAGCGGTATTTGGTTATTTATTTTCTCATCAGCAAGGTTCTGTGAGTCAGCAGTTCCTATTGCCCGACTCTTTGGACGCCTTCGGCAACCAACTACGCGAGTGTCGGTCTGCACACGAGGAGCAACAGCTGCTTTTCCAAGATCCTGCAACGGAGGCTGATCTTCAGGTAGCTGTGGCCCACGGAGTCCTGCACAGCAACATCTGCTGTGCCAAGGACAAGACGCTGCTTAATCTGCAGACGTTCGAGATCTACAAACACTTTTCTGAGGACGTTCTTAACTCAGCCTTTAACAAGGCGCGGGCGGACTCCCTTCTGGTAGCCGTAAAACGGCGCAATATCCAGTCGGCGGCTAGCCGTCAAATCACAGGGCCTGGCCATTTGCTCAGTTCCAAGTACAAGTACCGTCTTATATATACCAAGCTTACGCACTTTACCTACGACGGTTATTTTGCTTTGGATCAGAAGCTGCGAACGGATCAGGAGCATCACCTGTCTTCGCCACACTTCGCTCAACTTCTGGTAATAGGCGAATGGTTGTTGGAAAACAGGCTAAACCTTTCACTTAATCTGCCGGCAAATATCTTGACTGTGGACACCTCTTCGCTAAGCAGACAAAGTGGCTGTGCCTCGGATCGCATTCTGGATCATTACAGCTCCATGTTTGACAACGCTCCGCAGACCGAGTACTCAAAGCGTCTGGAGAGCGAGTGCAATGGTCGTCATGCATCACGGGTGCGCTTCCATCCTGGCAACCTGAGTTTCCGCCTTCCTACTAGTCCATACAATCAGCTCTCCAAACTACAGTTGCGTTGTATGCACTTTTTTTGTGCTTTAGATGCCTTGGGTGAAGCTGTCACCATAAGTATGGCGCGATTGGAGCAGGGAGACTGTCCCTTTACTAACTGCATCATGCGTAGTGGCAACTATCTAAATGCTGTGGAAAGAATAGCTCACGAGCAGCGTCCAATCCTACGTCAACTGGTGGCCGACGCCCTGCCCTCGCAGCAGTTCCAGCTGGAATTACATCCATCGGGAACACCTTTCACAGTCACTAACTCAACTCTTCTACCGTTTGCTCAACAACTGGAGGAGTATTGGCGTCGAAAGCAACAGGGAATGGAGCTGAAGGATTTAGGCAAGGCATTAGCAGAGCGAACTCTCCACAAGCTCACTGATTGGCGATCTATTTGTGCTGAGCTGCTCGATGATGAGCCGCATGGCTGGGAACCGGAACGCGTTCAGGAGTACGAACCGGCATTGAACAAAGAAGAGCGTGCCCGGGCGCAGGATGTGTTTGTGGTCCATTTACCCACTATTGGCATGCATGTTGTTGAGCAGCCAGAATGCAAACAGGCAATTGACAGTCTGCGTAATTCGGTCCTGGGCAAGGTTCTTCAGTAAGTTTTAACTATATACTGCTATATTGCTATTCAATCATTTTTTGTTGCTTGTAAATAGATCCACCTACTGGCAGTATACCGAAAACACGTTTGATACTCTTCGGCCAATACTTCTAGAGAAGGGATTCGACGACCAAGCTATTCGCCATATGGAGGACATACTAAATCACATCGAACAGCATACGCTCGGTGCAAAGGGCCTAGATTTGCGAAGGATCTTTCCTTTGGGAGATTTCCTGTTCGAAACTTTGCACATACTTGCCGACCACGGTCTAATCAAGCGAGTGGGCATTGTTAGTATTATGTACGTTCACAAAAACCACATACGGAACTGGGTGGTGCACACGTTCCACATCAAGAGATTGGAGCGTGAGAAAGTGCAGCCGATGGTGGCGGCGGCTCCTGGAACACTGCTAGCCGTCGTTGGTCACAAGCGTAAACTAGAGGCCCAGGAAACGGACAGCTCAGTTCCCGAAAAAAAGGCCAAAATTATGGAACAGCAAAGCACGGGAAGTGAGAGCGACGAGGCGTCCGGATCTGCAGCAAAGCGTCCGAAGAGAATTACGAGAAAGGAACCAGCCGTCGTAGTTGCTAATTCTACTCTGGAAGCTTCGCGGGATGCAATTGCTATGCGACCACAGCCGTGGATACGGGTTAATGCATCTCTTAATCGACGTGTGCTCGATCGCTGGCTGGGCGTTGTTCTTAGCGAGTGCATCTCTCGCATCGGCTGCACCGTGCAAAGTTTGTTCCTGAGGTTTTCACACTTGGTGCCAGTGGACATCATGTTCTTATTAGAGCTCCTGCACGATCTTGGTTGCCTACAGCTCATGGAAATTAGAACGCGAAAGGTGCACGTGGAATCGCTGCTGGAAGATGACGAGGATGGCGATGAGAACCAAGTCACAGAGCTTTACGATCCAACACAGACCTATGTTCAAGTGCATGGTAATGCTATTGGCAAACTGACCAACTTTATTGGCGTCAAAAAATATAGCACTGAATTCATTTAGTGTTCGTTCTAAGACATTTCACTATTAATTAAACAAAAATCGACTCTGGATGGTTACTTGACTTGTATCCTTCTTTTTACTTTAAGAACAATATTTTTATAAAAATAAAAATATTTGAAGTACACATTCTAGTATTTATAATAATCATCCATTTAAGTTCGGAATCCATTCCTAGCACAAAAGAAATCTAAATGTGGATGAAAATACATTGTTCAAGATAGCGAGATTAAATAAATGCCCGGTCGTAGATCCCATGGCTTACAAATATAATTCGGTTTAGATAAACAAATAGATGTAAATATGCTGATGTTTCATCCAAGCTAATGAATCATAGCGCATACACATTTTTTCTGTGGAGGTTTCACTTTAAAGAACAAAAACACGCGAAAGATTTTTTTGGTCACCACGAATTTGCATTCGCAGTGTTGGTTTAATTTTCATTTCACTTGTGGTTCCTTAAATCCTGGATTAACTTTAGCACATCACTACCGGGCGACAGGTGTTTACCGCTTGCCTCCGACGCGTGGGGCAGCCTTTTGTGTGACCTTGGCGGCCTTCTGCTTGGGTGCAGACTTCTTGGCAGGAGCGGGGGCAGCAGCCTTCTTGGCGGCCTTGACGGCACGCTTCTGCTCCTTGGCCACCTTGATGGCCTGGTCGCGCTGCGCCTTGCGCACCTCCGGCTTCATGTTGCGCTTGGCCAGGATCTCGGCCAGCGAGGCACCGACGATGGCGCGCTGGAACTTCTGGGTGCGGCGGGTGCGCTTCTTGGAAGCCTCCTCCTCGATTCCCTTGCGGTGCTTGCGACGGTACAGCACCGTCCACGTAACTTTGCGCGGATTGCGCTTCATCAGGTAAGAGCGCTCGCACTTCTTGTCCAGGAAGGTGAAGGACTAAAACAGTATCCAAAGATTATTATCCTGTTCTCGATCCGTGAAGTATCGCATCTGAACTTACCTTGCCATCGACCTTAACCATGGTCTTGCCATGACCGGGGTAGATTTTGTACCCGCTGAATGCGCACAAGCCAATTCTGTAAAAACAAACATTATCATTATCAAGGGCAATGTCTATTTAAGCCAAATTAAGGGTAACAAATGCCAAATAACACCATTAACTAGGTATTCGATCAATTTTCGGTATCATACTTCATCTTGCTGGCGTAGAAACACGAAAAGAAAAGAAAACGGAAGTGGAAACGAGAGGCAAGCCAAATTAGTGTGGCTGCCGCTGGCGTACTAAAGTGCCTGAATAATTCCACCACGTGCCGATGGGGTGCTGTAAAGTGTGGGCTGTTAGGCGCATTTAAATTAATAAGGGGACTCGAATTAGCATTGCATTCAATTGATCACTTTAATATAAAATTGTAATACAAACTTGAATAATTATCTTTAGCATTGTTTTGTACTTATAATTTATAACCTAAGATACATTAAATAAAAGATGTTCTATTGGTCACATATTATTCAAAGGCTCGCAAATAATTTTCCGCTTTTCAAACTTTATTCCATTTGTTGAACTTCGGTATGCAAATCCAATTCCTCCTCATCATCGTAATAGGCATGTGGTTCGCCAGGGCGCAAAAGTTTTCCAACAAATGGGTATTTCTCTTTGTACTGCAGGTCCCACTCCCTCAATGTGTTCATTTGTCTGATTGAGAGGTCACTTAAATCATCAAATTCCTTTCTTTCGATTAAGTCTACTGAAAAATTGATCAAGTTCCGGGAAATATCCCGTCCGGCATAATTTGGATAAACACCCTCTCGTCCGTAATAGTGAACGGATTGTGACACATCATATATATTAAAGTTGATGGCCACCAGGATGCGTCCGTCCTTCCGGTTGCCATCGTACTCGCGAAGTTCGGATAGCGTAAAGTCCGCCCGAAGAGGTGAAAGCTTTGCTTTTTTGTTCTCTTGGCCACTGTCCTTGCCCATATAGATTGGAACTGATTTCTTGGGTTCTAGATCCTTACGATGTTGATGAAGACAGCTAGTAAGTCTCACAACCTTGTAGAATACGATGGTCGACACAATCACGAGGGTAACATTGATGGGCGCCTCCCTAATTGATTTGTAGAAGGTGGAGTACCAGGTTGTGTTCTGATCCAATGCCTGCAAACTGCCTGCCATATTGGTGCTTCCGCCTGAATAATTTATCTTGTGGTTCCTGGAGTTAGTTTAATGTTTGCTGTATAAGCATTAGCCTACTAAGAAATATAGCTACAAATAAGGGGATACCATAGGTACATAACGACACTGGCATACATACATATGTACATATGTAGTTGGCTATACTTGAGGTTTCGACTTTGACTTATACCAAAAACCAACCATAAAATCTAAGCCTACTAAGAAATATAAGGACAAGTATGGGGGCTATCCTAGACAATACATACGATACTTGCATACATATATATAAAATCGATCTAATCAGATAACTTTGAAATTAAGTTTATCCGATTTTTTGATCACATTGCATTTATTAATGTCCATACCTAGCTACATAATGAAATACGAAAATGCTAGCTAAGATACAATAAATAATACAAAAAAGCCCCCTTTCTGAACGGATAGTTCTAATTCGGTTGATTAGTTTCGAATACAGTGCGTTCCATAGCGTAAACACGCTTGGATCGCTTAAGGGCAATGGCTTCGATAGTTTCGTTGAACTCTAAAATAGCCTTGCTGAATTCTACATCGCTCTCGATCATTCTGAGGAAAAGAGTAGCCTCGTCCTCCTCCTTGGGTTCCTGCTCCTTCTTGGCCTGACCCTTCTTCTTTTTAGCCTCTAACTTTTCCCTGGATTTTCGTTCCTCCTCCAGAAAAATGGTGGTCAGGCGCTTCTTTAGCTTGATCTCCTCTTCGCGAGCCTCCAAAAGCTTGCAGCGCGATATTTCCCGCTCGAACATCTGGATTTGAAAAATTTAATCGAGGCAACATTTGGATATCTGGTCAAGGTACTGGACACTCACCGACATCATGAGGGACTTTTCCTTAACCGTTGCACTTCTCATGCCTTCCTCCAACCGGAGCATCACACAATCGCCGTTGGTCATGCACAAGGACACCAACGACCCATCTGGCTTAAACACGATATGGTTAATGGCGTGTTTGAACTTTATAGTAAGAATTGGTCGTGTGTGGGACATGATCAGATCCCAAAACTCCAGGTTGCCTTTGTCGTCACCAATACAAAACAGCGAGCAGCGTCCCGTGCTCCAGGCACCACTTAATACTTGATTTGGTCTGCGAATATAAAAGGTGCTGGGGCAGTTTTTCACCTCCTCTGACCAGATGCGCACCCTCCAATCGCCTACCACGAGAAAGTTCTTGACGAAGAATGGATTACGCATAATGGTACGGATAGGACCAGCAAAAAGTTGGTATACACCAACGAGAGTTTCCTGCGCTGTAAGGCCTTTGCGGTTTCCAACAAACACACATCCCATGTCAGAGCCAATTATATAGCGAACTGGAATAGTATACTCAAATTCAAGAAAGGTAACGCCATGTGCGTTTTGCCGATTTTGAACTGGTCCTGGATCCGGCTCAGCCAGAACCTCATTAACTGGCATGAGAAGATCCCGAGTATCCCAGTACTTGATGGACCCGTCTAGCGAGCCAGAATAGAACTCAGTATTGAGCTTGGAATGTACCCAGCAGAGGGCCGATGTGGCTTCACGGTGGCACGCCTCTAGGGGGCACATAACTTTGGATCCGCCCATATTTTCGGTAAGCCAAAAGCTTACCTGACCCTCATTATACCCACCCACCATGTAGTTCTCATCCCGCATGCACAATTTGGCGATCAGCAGGACATTTTTGGTATCGTAGTGGGCTAGTGGACGAGTGGCGTCGTCCAAGTCCCAAATGTAAAAGGCGTTGGGATTATCGTTGCCGAAGTCCGGCAAAGTGTTCAGTGGTTTTGAGTAATCAGGAGATAAGCTTTCTGGATTGGAGAAGGTCAGAAGGAACTGGTTGGGTTCATTGTTCGACCATTCGCACGTCTTCAGCTTTCTCGGTGGAATCCATAGATCATGGAAGATGTGTGTACCTCTAGCCGCAATTTTCATGTTTATTCCCCGACCCAGATCCTCCGGCAAGTCGACAAAGAAGTCCTGATAGATATTGATCGCATTGTTGGCCGAACTTATCTGCATCACATCGTGCATTAGTTTGTTTACTTCGAGTCCCCAACTATCATCACGCTCGACTTTTTTGCGGTAGCGCAGTGTGGACTCCTCGTCCATAACGTTCACCTCCTTGACATTCCAGCCACCCTCGAAGTGATTCATCCCGTGCGAATCAAGGGTTACATTGTGGGTCAAAACCGAGGACACTGCATACTGCTCGCTTAGCTGTGTGCGTTCGGTGATCGGATTGCGCAGAATATACTTTAATCGCAGCCGCCCACTGGGCTGCACACTTAAAATCATCTCATTTCGATCCGTAAACAAACACTGCCTTCCAAAGCGACGACGTTCCCGCGACAGAATGAATTGGTTTCCCAAAGTGCCCATCGCAATTGATATGCGTTAATCTTTATACGATTGATTACTATCTAAAAAAAATATATTTGTATTTTTACTCCGTGTTGAAGATATGTTTAAAAGCCGATTTTCTTTTTGCTTGGAGATAGTTCACTGGAACGTAAAAAATTTAAGGTATGAGTTGCTATTTAAACAAATTTTTAAAAGTAAATGTAACAGAAAGATTTGACTGGTTTGTCTCTGAATACTAGATATACGCTATAAATATTTTCATTCAATTATCTTATTATGAAGTAAACCGGATTTTTTAAAATTATTTTAAACATTTATTGCTAAACTTAAAATTAACAGATTCATAACAGTTTCCGGTTGGTATTTTTGCATTAAGGTGCCCATTTCTTAGTCTTGAATATCGCGCTAGTATGTTTAATGAGAGAAGTAACAGGTAGCCAAGATGCGGTCACACTAAACTCATTAAAACGCGGAAAACATTCAACTTTTTCGAAAGTAAAGCGTAAATGATCTGAATTAATATTAAGGAAACAATACAAACAGATTTGTTTCGGCGGCATTGAATGTTCTAAAACCAATTATATCAATTCCCAATATGGTGAGTTTTGGCCGATTAGTGCCAAGTTAGCCCTTCTGCTTACGTTGTTGGTTTTTATGCGTTCGTACCTATTTCAGAGATGGACCTGCAAGAGTTTCTTTCCCTGGAACGCCAGCAGTTGCAGAAGGAGCGCCAACGGCTAACCACCCAAAAGCCTTGCCCCGCTACCCAGCTAATGACATCCAAAGACTTTAAAGTGCAATGTCGCAGGGCCAAGGAGCTTAAGGAGACCACTGAGTCCAATGAACCCGCAACACAATCGTCTTCCTTGGCAACCGATTGCCAAAGCGAAGAATTTCACTTGGACTTGCAGATGGGGGAGGAGGAGCATGAGGAGGTTTCACCCAACCCCTCTAAGTCTACCAAGGAATTTGCGAATCAGCGCCAGCTGCTCGTCGGCAGCGCTCGTCAGTACAAGTCGCCAGATGCGTCGATACGGCGCAATTTGGAGAATGAGCGACCGCTAAGTGAGAACCGCTTTCCTATCCGTCCGTCGGTAAGTGCACTGAAAGAAATATGTATTATTAAAACACGAGCAAGCCAACTTACTACATTTACTTAATGGAAGAAAAGCTGAACTTTGGTTTGCAGAGTCTTCTCTTCACTTCTCTTGACTTCTCAAAAAATTTAAACATACATTTATCTTTTTTTCAGTGCAGTAAATTCGTTTTAAAGATTTAGCTCTAGAATGTGCGTTGCGCTTCACTGGCGCCTCTTACCGAATCACATCGCCATTTGTCAGGCAGTTGGCCATAATTGTGCGAAATTAGTTTCTCTACGCATCGTTGAGTAAATAATGTATTTCCAAGCCTTTAGACAATAATCACAATCTTAGCTTTAGTTGTACAAGAGATTTCACAGTGTTCTTGGTTGTTGACGGTGAGTCGCAAAGTAAAAGAAAAATTATCACTACAATTTGTTCGTGCTGTAAGAATGTATTTATTATTTAACAGTAACATTTACTGCCAGTTAATATTTGCATATACGATTAGAATACAATCATAATGGATAAGTTAAATTAACGATAGCGAACATATACTGCATTTGTAATTAGAAAGGTGAGATAACCAGACTGCCCTTTCCAGTTTTCACTTTTCATTTTAAAATATTTATATGCTTTGTATTCTCAAAGGGCTAGAAAATAATTGCCGGTCTATCATTCACTGTACCGTTTATATTGCATAGCTTATAAGTTTGGAGCCTAGACCGTGTGGGGATTAGAGGAAAGCCAAATGAGTTTGGCATTTTAATTATTCACATTATTTCTTTTGACTTGTCCGTGTTTTGTTGCGTTTTGAGTGTGGCCTCGTTTCCTTCCGCTATCAATGTTGCATGGCTCGTTTGTATTTGCTACTATTTTCTACTATAGTAAGTCCATTCCGTGCTCTAGTTACCAACTATTCCGACACTGTGTGAACGGGCCATTCGCTTAATGAATTTGCTGGCACCGCTCTCAGTTGTAATCCGAAGCTCGTTTGCTGCGCTTGCTTTTGTTGGCTTGAACTTGAAATTACCAAGCACCCACTCGGTTCTCTATATACCCAAAATATATACCTTTATGAGGTGAGGCGTGTCCCTGATTGCCGGCAAATGAAACCCAACGAACGGAACACAAACGAAATAGGCAGTCTAATTGACTTGATTTGGCAAACCGGCAAGCGCCATAAGTTAACCCAAATAACAAAGTGACGTAAACCAAATATTGAACAATTGCTAAAAATGTACAAACTGACATTGTTCATTTAACCTTAGGGAAGCCTAAAATTGATTGTCAATCAAAATTGTTTTGCTGTAATTTAATTTAGTTTATCACGGAAACTGTTTAACATTCTTTAATAGTTACATCATTTTATTAGTTTAATTTAATCAAAATACTTGCTCCTATAATTTACTCTAAGGACTGCCCGCTTTGTCGACTCGTTTCCACATTTAATAATTTTTAGTGTGAAAGAGTACGATATGCATGTCCTGGACTGGACACGCCCATCTGTCAGCTCAAACCTGCGATGGCTTTCATAAATGGCTAATGATAACGATTATTAAAGTTTTTTTACTCCTGTAAAGTAAAGTTTAAAAGCAGTTCGACAGCTGAAAAATTTGTTCTTTTTAGCCTATTTAGAGACATCCTATTTCTGTTTATATGCAGTATATTTAACTGTTTGCAATTAAAACCAAAACCAAACACGGAAGCTCAGCAGCTCAACGGCAATAGAATTTTACAAATGAAATGAGAGTGAAAGTCATGACCTGGACAAGGCCAGGAGAAGACAAGTGGTAATTAAAGGGCTTGTTGAGTATGGTCGAACTAATCGTTTTCCATTGGTTATTACCTGGTTTAGGGTAAATAGAGGTCATCTGCCTATCGACACATGAAAAATACCACAATTGAGATCCGTCGCACTCGCTTTAAATTCATCTGACTGCCCTTGAACTTACGGTGATGCGTGGCGACAATAATGACGTCCATTCCCGTTCAACTTTAACACGCATTTTCATTAGTTTTCGCACTTTTCGTACACAAACTAGCTGGCACTTAGTTAACCCAATTTTTATGCGACACGCAACCAAATCCGATGAATGGGCATAGTAAGCAGAGTCGTTAAAGTGACTGGCCCACAGTGGGGCATTTAAGTTTAAAAAGTCTAAAAATCTTTTTAAAAAGCTTTAAAATATTATTGACTATGGATTTCTTATCATTACATTAATTGTTATATTTTGTTATTATTAAAGTTTAGTTTTAAAAAAGCACAATATAAATATAGTGAAAATTTCAGTTTTATATTCCAATATTTTTAAGCTCATGACTTTGTTTATTAGCACAAGAAAAAGTTTAACCCAGACTGTATATGCTTTCCCCCACCTGAGATGAACCGCGTAACACCGTAGTTCGAGCTCCTCCCTGCCACCATTTACTCTCCTGATTTGCAGTCTTCATTTTGATAGTTTCCTTGACCTGAATTACTGGAAAAGCTATTGCTTTTTTAGCTTTCATTGCGGGACTGAATGGTTTTCCAACTATTAACTATCACAGTCCTAAATTGCTCTTAATTATGAAAAGCAGTAACTTTTCTCGGATATCCCCGGTCTCTTCAGGCACTCACCTGAAATGATGAAAACGTTAAAAACGTACTTTAATTAAGGCGCACATCATCAGTGCTAATAGCCAGTGAAGCGTAATGCATGCAGCTAATAAATTGAAGTGCAGGCTACCTTTCGACTGGAGGAACACCAGTAAGCTAAAACAGCTGGGTCTTGTTGATAAACTGGCGTGGAAACTGGCGTCTCAGCCGAGTGCTGAAGGCGCCTCCAGTCGTTATACGAAGCGTCTCGTCCTTTATGTTATTATTTTTGTTACCCTTCAGGGTTTGAAGCATTTAAGGTTGAAGAACGAAGATTAATCGATAACTTAAACATTTTTTTTTGAATAATCATTTTTTATAACTCAAAAATGAACTTCAAATTATGATTCCAAAATATTCGATTGAATTATTAAAATTCCGTAGATTTAAATATTCTTTTTAAATAACTTTTAATACAATAAATTCTACATATTAATCGTGTAGTACGATTTGTTCATAGAAAATTGGAAATATGTTTTACTTAAGTAGATATTAGGATAACTAGGTAGTAGCTTGGTCGACCCCTTGTCTCCATTTTGCTGTCTGGATTATATATAATTTTGTTGATGCCATCGGTGCACGCGATTTGCGACGTCGACGGCATAAAAATTATGTGCAAAAATGGCAGTAGGCATTGTGGAGTGTTCGCTGGAGCAGCTCCTGCTGAAGTGCTGGTGCTGCTGACCCCAAAACCAGGCGAAGAACGAACCCAGTATAATTTGTGGCCCTCGCCACATATAAAAATGTATACAAGCTTCTTGCTGGTGGTTAGTGTCGCCGTAAGAAACACGGGAGAACTAGAAAAAAGAAATCGCCCGATAAGGAATATATGAAAATATATACTTACCCCACCACATTGTACCACTCACAAGTTACAAAAGCGAAGGCTCCCTCACATTCGTTTTCTCTTTCGCACGCAGGATGATATGGAGCAATGGGTTACGGACACATTTTATTCGTACTTTCCCGGCTTTAACAATGAAAATCAGAAGCGGCAGAATTATTTGCGTGAGCGACAGCGCGAGAACCAGCAGAATTTTCTCAAGCACCAGGTGAGCGTTTCAATATTACCATAAAAATATTTTGATGATGTGCGAACATTTCTAACGCTAGGCAGTGTTTTATTTATGAGCTTAGAATAAATGCTAATTTGGCCGTATAATTTTGTAGATGCTCCATCCGCCGGCCAACAAGCATCTGCGACCGGAACAATTGAGGAAGGCATCACAACAGGCTGCGGTTCCAGCACAAAACCGCTCAAGCCAATCTAGCACAAGCACCTCAAACCACAGCACAACGGATAAGACTGACTTAGAATTAATTGTAAATAGTAATCCTAACTATGTGCCGCCCAAAATTCGGCCCGGCACAACACGTCAAAAACTTCTCCAGGATCTGGGACATGTGGAACTCTCGAATATTGTAACAGGTGATGGAATTATGGAGCGTAATCTTCGGAGTGCTGAGCTGGAAACAGCTCGCAAAAAGGATTACCAGCGAGATTTAATGCAACAAATTGACGAGAAACGTCGATCCATAGAATTGATAAGGGAGAAGGAGCGTCGTCAGGAGGAGGCTTTGACCAGGTATCTCAATAATTAAAAATATCCTTTTTTTTAAATCTATTTATTTTTTTAACAGACGACTAGAGGCACAATTAAAGACAATACAGTTGGAGGAACAGTTGGAGAAAGAGAGACTTCGAGCTGAAAGGGTAGGTATTTATTTTAGGGTCTTATTTTCCATTAAACCAAAAGCTATTATTAAAAGACCGGTTAAAAGCCGACCGCAGAACCTTAAGTTTATTTATAGAACTAGATTTCGATAAAATATCCGAAAATTTGATTAGACGTAATTGTCATTGATTGGTATTACCATTAGATTACCAATCTATGTCCCCAAAAATAAATTGCTCGGCAGGGAAAATTAATTGTAATTGATAGGAGGATTAGGGCCTCTGATTTAATTTATCCACATCTAATGGTACTTAATTATAATTCCGTTTTGTTTTAGTAATTCAATAAAACGTAACTCACTTTTACTCACTATGTTGGCAGGCTCGCATCGACTCGGAACAAAATCGCTTGATGCGTGAGCAGTTGTTGGCCAAGCTGGAACAGGATGCCCAGTTGCTGCATGCCAAGGAGACCAACAATCTAGCCGAAACTCCCAGAACAACTCGCATTAAAAGCAAAAGTAATAACGCCAATAATATCAGTACAGATAGTAACACCAACCGGGTGTATAAATACTTTAGTAACTCGGCACATCACGAGTACAGACGGGGTCAGCCTTTGCCACCGGCCGTTGAGTTGGACTTTGAAGTGCCTCAGATGGCAAAAATCGAACGCGAGTGCTTTCATCTTTGCGAAAAGATTTGTCCGCTCTGTGACGAACCGTTAAGAAGCTATGAAAGTTGCTGTCTGCGATGCCAGCGGAAATTGGCCCTCAAGCTAAAGCAAAAGGAGCCCAAGCGAAATGGAGAAAGTGAAGATAAACCGAGCGAAGACTCAGAAGAGGGAAAAGAGGTGGAGGAGCGGGATAATAATAAAGAAGAAGATTCCAACCACAACTGCCAGAGCAGTTACGCTCTGGTGTGTCACAAATGCGAACGACTTTATGCTATGTGCAGCCAATGCTTGGCCAAAAGCGATGTCTGCCGGGCGTGCCAGCGGGAGCGGAATGTCTGCATGAATTGTCGTCGTAACCTTTGCTCGTTTTGCTTGGAGGAGGTTGCCTGCGGAAGGGACACGGAGCGCACACATGTTAATGACAAGGAAATAATCAGGGATCCGCCTTCAAATAATGCCTTCCAAGTCCTGGAACTAAACTATGCTGTGCCGCCACCTAAGGATACAACGGCCAGTAATCCAGCAGATGTTTCGCCTCCTTACTCCGTAAACATTGCGCGCAATTCGGTATTCCATGACGACTATAAGCCGTCCCCTGTGAAGCCGTCTATCCTAGAACAGCTTCCGACCACGTCGGGGAGTGCCAACACGAGTTTCGATCTAGATAGTGCCGATGAGCAGGCTGTGGAGCGGGTGCGTCGACAAACGGATCAGCGGTTATCTCGTTACCTTAAGAACTATGGCGATCTTGCTACCAAACAGCACCAGAAGGTGAAACAGTTGGAGCTGCAGCGAAGCAAGAGCGAGTCCCGTCATCGGGGCACTCAAACGACACCACAGTCGTTGGCTAGAAGGGATGTTGTCCTTAGGGAGGCTGCTGGTCATAATCTATCAATGCCTCTGCTACGTGAGATGCCCAAAATGACGCGACAAGAGACAGGTACTCCATTGGCTGAAAATAGCCAGCGAAAGATTGACAACCTAAAGAAACGCTGGGAGGTTGGTGGATATTGCATTGTATAATTTTGCCACTTACCAATTCATACTTACAGGTGCCTGCTGTACAAAAGTTCACGGTCTCAACATCATCTCCTAAAATACTTACCCAAGTGGGAGCCATAAGAAAACAGTTACAGGCGGCGCGATTCTTTGATGATGAAGTAGATCCGGAAGATTATTAATGATAGGTCAACCCATCAATTTTTAGAACAGAAAAAATGATTGCGTTGACTTTTCTTTTTATCCAAACGAATTTAATTATCTTTAATGTCTTCACATTTAAAACAGTTGCCATTATTATTTCACACTAATTTCATTTTGTAAACAACTCATGTAGGTATAGCTTTTTAGTGAGCTGATTCCAAGTGCTTCGGCTGTTTCATTCAGCGACTTTAATATGTAAGCCATAAAGTTTGTTAACATGTATTGTTCTTTTTTTAGTGGAAGTTTATTAACTATGAATGAGTTACTTAAAAAAATATAATTAAAGAAAAACTTATCTAAACAATCTTCAGTGTCAATACTTTTAAATAAATTATAAGTAATTAAGAAAGTGATGGGTTCCTTTGTAGTAGTAAATATCGGCATCATTATTAATACACTAGAGCGCCCAAATCGCTTCTCTCGGCACCACTTGCCTTTCAATGAGAAGGACGTCAGTGCTTACAAATGGCACTTTTTTTTCATTTTTAAAACCCTCCCCCTTCAGTGCCCACACGAAGTATCTATATATATATAAATGACATAAATTTAACAATTTACATAAATTCTTACGTTAATCACATAAAAAAACCTTCAAAAAATTTAACTGTTTAAACAAGGGCTGCCCGCTTAATTTCTAGAGAGTTGTCACAGCTGTTAAGAGCTAGAGCTGCCAACTATAAATGATCCGAGCTGCCAACTTCACTCAAATCGGTCCAGCCGTTTACGATTATATAGCGGACATACCTACATACATGGTTATGTTCATTTTTTTTTATGTATGTATGTATGTCGGATACCCTGGACCCTCAATCTCAGTAGATCCTCGGGAGCGGAGGCGAGACCTTGCAAAACCTTATCAATGCCATTGCGACAGGAGATGTAGTTTAAATTGGACTTGACACAGAGCTCAACTATGAAAATTTAAAAAATAAACCAACTGTGGCGACAAATATACCAAATTAGTTTAAAAAGTTTTATATATATTTTTTATTACAAAAAACACTGTTTTCAAATCTTAATATTTTTCATTTTTAAATCCTAAGCACATACGGTCCTAGGCCTAATCATCATTTCACTGAAGGTGAGCGATTGTTTATAATCGTATTTATTCCAGCTACCCCACGTGATTCCGTTGGTATACATTGAGTGGCCCTCTTTGTAATACTTTCCATTTAGTTTGCTGCAATTTCAAGTTGAAATGTTAATTTTGTTGAATGGCTGGCAATTGAATATATTTACCAAAAATCACATTTCATGTACCACCATCCACCGCGACCTTTAGCACAGTGCTTAGTTTTGGAGGAATCGTTATCCCTGTCTAATGTGGAAAACTTCGATTTCACATGACGTGTTAGGGAGTCTCCAGGTTCCCCAGAATGATTCCCCACGGATTTTAGAAAATAAGATTCTGCTTCACTACCAATCTCAAAATGATCATAGTGAACAAAGCCGATGGATCCGTCCACCTTCCCAAGTTTAATAGAAAGTTCGTGTTGTCGGTCACGAGTCATTACATGCAATTTCTCCAGTCCTATAAAAAATTCGCCGCGAATATTTCCAAATCCATTTTTGTAGTCCTCCCAAGGCCGATTAAAGTCCTCGGAGCCGTCAAATCGTTTTTGAATAGTTAACCAACCAGTTGAGTTGCAGGGAGCTTCGAATGTCTTCACTCCACGAACTGTAATGTTGTAAATGCCACTTGGACCGGCTCTGGGGCAGCTGTGTAAAGGATATAACCTTAAAAGTTTATCGCTCATTTCTGATATTTTCTTTGAACTTGATTTTATCTGACTGTTAAGGGCTTTGAGTTGTTTATTCTTGCTCTCAAGTTGTTCCTCTTGCTCCTTAATTATTTTACTGTCGTTTTCTATTTCATTTCTAGCTTTCATTAAGTCACTCTGTGCATTTTCTTTACTTTTCTTCAGATAATTTATTTCTTTATTTTCGGCTTCTAGTAGCTTAGATTGATCACTGCGTAGATTTTTGATATTTTTTGTCAGATCATCTATTTCTTTATCTTTTTTTTCTACTATCTTAGATTGATCACTGCGTAGATTTTTGATATTTTTTGTCAGATCATCTATTTCTTTATCTTTTTTTTCTACTATCTTAGATTGATCACTCTGTAGGTTTTTGATATTTATTGTCAGATCATTTATTTCTCTATCTTTGGCTTTTAGTAGCTTAGATTGATCACTGATTTCAGAATCTTTCAGTTTGATATCATCCGTACAAATACTTAACTTATTTTCCATATCTCGATTGGTAATGTTCATAAAAAAAACATGGTCATCTAAAATCAATAGTTTTAGTTTTTGTCCCGTGATTTGATTATTTCGCCTATTCAGCTCGTTTTCTTGATCACTGATTACAGCCTCCGCTCTTTCGATTTTACCATTAGCACCTGACAACTCACTTTGAAGAGCTTTAATAGTTTCTGCCATGTCAGCAACTTTTCTTTGTTTATCTTGGATGACTTCTATTTTGTCATTCATTTCCTTCTTTTGTTCAAATATTTGATCTTCTTTGTATTTTAATTGAGTTTTCAACTGCATCATATTATCTTCTGCAGACTTTAGTTGATCATTTAATATTTTGTTAAGTGTTTCTGATTTATTAAGCCGTTCAAAGTGGGACAAGCTTAATAAATCACACCGATTTTCCGATATATCTTGTTTAAGTGAATCGGCACCGATAAGAGATAGGTCCATGCAAAGCCAAGCCCACAGAAAAAACACGAAGTACAACTTCATTGTGCTTGAAGCTCCGATTATAAACTAAATGTAGCAAAGCTCCGTCGATTGTAAACTAAATGCATCAAAGAACGTTTTGCGGTATTTATAGCCAGCAGAGGCCATTGTGATAAGAACCGCGCTAAAGCCTCGAGCCTTTTACCTAGAAAACCTAAAGATTAACATAAATTAATGTTATATATAATATATTATTAACATATAATTTAATATGAAGATTGTTGAGAAGTTATCCTTATTTCTGGGAGAAGTCGTATGCTTGTTACGAGGCATTCCTGGCATTCGAGTATATTTATACCTCTTCTGGTTATAAAGATTGTGGCATATCGAGAAGAAACCATTTTTAATACTAAGAAGACTAAGACTCACACAAGATAAAGTTAAGGTTAAAGTTTCGCTGCGCGCTCCGCTTCTTAAGCTTGACATCGTCTTTTGGGCTTATGTACCATGTGCATGCAAAATAAAATAAATTAAATAATTTTCGTTTAGGTTTCTATTCAATATTTATGGAAGTGCTTTGTTATGTTTCTTGTAAAATATAATACCGCAAAAACACACAAATCATATTTAATTCCAGCGGAAATAAGTTTTTCAATAGACACTGTAAAACACTGCAAGAAAAACAAAAATGCATTAACTAAAATTGAATCACAGGTACGAATAAAAAAAACTACACAGATAAAAATCAATCTGTAACTTCAACATGAATATACGAGGTGTGTTCAAAAAGTAAGGTGACTCTTCAAATTTCGCGAATTTCAAATTTTTCGATTATCGAAACCTTTTAGAAGTTATACGAGGTGTGTTCAAAAAAAGGTGACTTTTCATTTCAAATTTTTCAAATTTTTCGATTATCTTCAGTTTTGGGAACAAGAAAAGTCACATGGGGCCAAATCCGGTGAATATGGTGGCTGAGGCATTATTGTGGTGTTGTTTTTGGCCAAAAATCCAAATCCTTTGTCCATATTTTCGATAGCAAAAATCGCCGAGCTCGAAACAACTTGTAACTTTACGCCTCTACAACCAAACAAGAGGATGTTCATTGAAACTTGGTACAGATGTTGGAAGAGTGTACCAATATAACAAAAAAAAAAATCGAAATAAATTTGAAGTCACCTATACTTTATTAAGGAAGTGCCAATAATTTTATGATGATCTGTATTGCTGCCAGTCTTATTGTAAGTGCCTGCAAATGCAACTTGTTTTAATTCTTATGAACCTTCCCCTTTCAATCAATTTTTCTAATTACCTAAAAGGTTTGCATTATTTGACCGGATAAACTATAAAATGTAAACAAATCAAGTGTTACGATTGAACATAAATATTTTTTTATTTTATTTTTTTTCATGCATTGTGGATGTCATTTGTTGATGGTCAGTACGGATCTATGGATTTCTTTACCACTGAAGAGGCTGCTGAGCGTAGACTGGAGCGTACTGCGAGTAGGCACCGGCGGATCCGTAGCTGGGAGCTGGAGCACTGCATGGCACTGGGGCCAGGTTGGGCTGGCAACTGAACAGGTAGTTCTTGGGGCAGGGAGGAGCCGGGATCGAAACTGGAGCGGCGGCGTAAGATGGAGCAGCTGGGGCAGCGTAGGCCTGAGGAGCGGGAGCCGGAGCAGCATAGGACGGAGCAGGTGCAGCAGCAGGCTTGCCGTAGCCACCACCGTAGGATGAGCCCAGCATCTTTTCCTCCTTATCGGCGGCAACGAAAGCGGCCAGCAGGCAGATGGTGGAGATGATAGCGATGCACTTCATGTTGATTGGTTGGTGATTTCTTAGACTGGTTGGTAGCAGACTGCGATGCTTCTGCCTTCACCAGTTGGGCTTTATATACTTTATGCCGTGCAACCAAAACTGCAGAGCCAAGCACTGACCAAGTTTTCAGTTTGCTCAACGACCCCTCGAAGCCAACGTGTGTGGGGCATTTTCTGCATAACAATCAGAAAGTGAAAAGAACAAACATTTCCTCTACTTTTTTGGGCCACTGAACTTGTTGAGTAAACAAATTGTCGCATGCCAAATTCATGAATTATAAAAAATATCGGAAACAAATTTTTAGGGAGTTTGTTTAAAAAAATAGGACTTATATTTTTATTGAAATAACAATTTCTGGTGCATTTAGACTCTCTTAAGAATGCAAGTGAATAAAGGAAAGAATATTTATATATATTATTTGTATTATTTGTTTAGTAAATGTAAAATTTAAGTCTTTAATGCATTCAATACTTCAAATTTACATAAAGTTTTAAGTTTCTAAAACTCTTTATTTCAAATTATCAATAATATCATTATGTTTTATTTCGAAAATATATTTTTCCATACGTCAAAATTATTTAAAGCAGTTAAAGCAGTTCTTGGAAAACGTAAAAAGCGTTGTTTAGCACAAAGTCATCGTTTATATGCTTAGCAACAACCTTTCATCAAGTTTTTCGAAATCTTTTGCTTGTGTGGCCTTAAGTTTAAGGAGCTATACATCCAGAATATGCATTATCGATGGTTTCATGTTATTATTAAAATATGAGGTAAAAGAGGGATAAATTATCATTTGAATTGTGTTTACTATTTGGCTATTAATTTAGCCCTTTTATTAAATTTTATATATTCAAAAACATAAATTTTTATTGTGAAATCATTTTCAGATCAACCAAATTAAAACTTTAAGGAAAAGAAGAAATACTATTTTTAAAGATCTTGAGTTTTTAAACTATGCTAAAAATATGTAAAATTAATCACGAAAGTAATATTTACAATCTAGTGGGTATGAAATAAAACAATTTTATTTATTTCAAAAACTGTACGAACATATTTCATTTGTCACATAGAACGCCAAATAACGCCAAGCGTCTGTTAAGTTTGTTAAAATGAAATTTACTCCGCAGTTTTGGCACAGAGTCTGTCATTGTTATCGCACAAGCCGTGGGTTTCATGTTCCACCAGTTGAGAAGAGCAGATTGAATGACCGATTAAGCGACAAGCTTAAGCGCTCCGCGGAGTTGATAAAACGGGCAATGAATTTGTATAAGCCAAATGAGATTATATTATGTTTTAATGGTGGCAAGGATTGTACGGTCTTACTGGATATTTTAGACAAGTTCAAGCCGCCATCGATGCCATTACGAGCGGTTTACGTTAGAACGGCAGATCCCTTTGAGGAACTGGAGAAGTTCGTCGATGTGAGTGTTCAGCGTTATGCCCTGCAGTTGCGACGCTACGAAGGGATCCTCAAACTTGCCTTTGAACAGTTGTTGGTCGAGGATCCACATGTGAAGGCCACATTCCTCGGCTGCCGTGTCAGTGACCCTGGTGGCTCGAGTCTATTCGAGATGATGCCCAGCGACAACGGGTGGCCGGCAATGATGCGGATTTTCCCACTGCTGGAGTGGAGCTACCATGACATTTGGACTTATATACGATCAAATGATATACCCTACTGCTGCCTTTACGATCAGGGCTACACATCTCTGGGGGATCGTAGTACATCGCATCTGAATCCTAGTTTGCTAGTCTACAACGAGAAGCTGGGCAAGAAGACCTACCGGCCAGCCTACGAGCTGAAAGACGTCCGTTCGGAACGGGCAAACAGGGATGGAAATGGCCAGGCGACCATGGGCGAGTCCAAGCCATAATCATCCGCTAGAGTTCAGGTCAAGCTCAAAGTTTTTTGCTATGGTCTTGACTTGCTTTTTAATATTTTTTCCCCGACCCAATATAAGTGGAGCAGCAAGTGTCAGCTAACTGGGCCGACAATTCTTTGTCAAGACCTCATTTCAGCTACCCACATTTCGCTTAACAGACAAATTTCAAAACTTCAACAAACCGGCCTAGGCACTTATAAAAGCTAAACTTTTGTATAAGAGAAAAAATGGTGAAAGTTTCGGATATAAGGTGAGTTTAGTAAAAGCTAGTCTTACCTAAAGCTCAGGAACTTGGTTTCTTTGCCAAGCAAATACAAACATTTATTAGTTTACAACTGATAAGCAGCATTTATTTATTGAGAAAATTGAATTTCTACATATAAACGTTTTTTAATTGAAAGCACTATAACTGGAATATAATAATTTTCTTTATTAATTATTAAACCGTAGAAAAATATGAATTTGAGGTAATATTTTTCCAGAAATGTTTGGCTTTTGCAACCTGTTTGGATCATTTAAGTCCCTTTATAAAATAAACCATGTTACTTCCCGTCTCAGGTTGACTTTTAGTTCTTGGTGGCGATTTTGCACTACTGGTTTCATCGTCTCCCACCAGGAGCAGTCGATGACTTTGTTTTTGACATCCCTGTTTCCTTTGCACGCGTTCTTCTTTTTCAATTTTGTTGTCATTGGGATATTCCTCGGATGACTGTGCCTGCGGTGTGTATTCCAAAAGATCACGATACACTTTCCAGAGACTCTGATCTTCGGAACGGTCCAACCAGTTGAGCAGGTCCTGAATGGTCTTGTCATGCCGATGGGCCACTTGCGAATCAAAGGGCGGATGTTTTCGAGTGGCAAACTGTGCCCGGTAGCCCGTTTTATTGGTTTTCGGGGTAAGACTGACACGAAACCACTGTTGATCTTGTGGATCCTCACCCAGAAGAGCGTATTCAAAGTCCGGAGTTGCAGAGGAGCTCTCTGGTTGGAGTCCTAAACGATTTGTGGTGGATACCACGGTTTTGTTGGTCTCCAATAGGGGTCCCTGTCTATTAAATAAAATAAATATATATTTAAAATTGATTAAATACTTAAGTAATTACCCCAACTGAGTATATCTAGTCAATTCAGTGGGTAGTGCCACGACACCGCTGACCATCATACAAAAGATTATTAAACACGATTTGTTCCACATTTCAACCATTTTCGCTGAGTGCGACAAAGCTTCTGAGTTCACTGATTTATATAGTGCATCGATAGTTTATGCTTTTGCTTTGTCATTTTTCCCGGTTTATGTGGCTTCGTGTTCGGCGTAGAAACCGGCTTGTAAATGTAGCTTAAATGATTTCGATTTGACAAACGGAACTTCTCAGATAGCTAATGCTCGCGATATACTGTCACGTTTCGGGTTTGGATTACATTGCTTAAAAGCTGGCACCGCTGGAAATATATTTTTCATGATTAGTATATACTATTTTAGGTTGGTTACATACAATACGTTTCAATAGCATTTATAAGACTAGTTACTATTACCTTAAACGCAACATGTACTTGTTTTTGGTATTTACTCGTAATATTAATTGTGAAATAAATTGGCTTTTCCTTTTCATTTTAGTGGTTAATAAGGAATATTTGTATGCCTTTTGAATTTGTTTGGGGAAATGCCACTCGGCTAAGTCACTTCCGGTGCGCTCTTTCCGTTTCCTCTTTGCTCTCGCAACAGCTGTGCCAGCATTGCCAGCATAGAGGAATGCTATTATCAGTGAAATTGGCGACCTTTCCAATGTGGGTAAACTCTGAAGGATGTTAATCAACAAGGCTACTTTCACTTTAGCACCCACCCTCTACTTTGCCCCCCTATAACCCCTGGTCCTGTGATGAGTGTGCGCCGGAGAGTCAACTTTCTCTCGCCCATTTCTCTACCGCTCTATCACACTCGCTTCTTCTCTCTTTTAACAGCAGCTGAGACAGCACAGCTGTTTGGCATTTTGCGCGCGCACTTTCCTAAAACAAAACGAAACGCATATCACACATACGCGCCATGGTACGGCCAAGGCAACTCTCCTTGGGTCCGACAGGACTCGGAACTGTTTCGCACACTCAGTAGACAATCTTTCCTCATTTCGTTAACACACTCACAGCACCTTCAAGCGAACCAATAATATACAGAAGAATTTCCCCAAAGCAACAAACAGCAACAGTAGCAAAATTAAATCCCCAAAGATAAAACGCATAGATATATATGTAAATACATAAAAAAGTAAAACAAAAAAAAAACACGCATTTTTGAAGAGCTTGAGTAGATACGTGAATTGTTCGCCGACTAAAATTTAAATCTGTTAAACATATTAAATCCAGCCAAATTTCATTAAATTGAATGTCTACGTGCGTGTTTAGTGCAACACAAAAAAAAAAACAAAAACCTAAATCACTCGTCTTATTGTTGTTGTGACTGCCGTCGGCAGTAACTTTAAACGAAAGTATGTAAAAAAATGTATCTCTTATCAGGCAGCTTCGTTTATACGTGGCACTTTAATGGCAAAGAACCAGAAAGTGGACGATAAAATGCGTCTAACTTGCTTGTCTTTAACCATTTTATCCACTTATTTTATGTATTCCGTTTTGTTTGAGCTATTCCTTGAATAAGTTGGCCAGTTATCAGTTGAGAAACGAATGACATGGGTTGTAGTTTGTGTGCAGAGTAATTGCTGTGCTCGGTATCTGATAACAATCACTTATTCCCACTGAAAGGCAATCGTTATTATAATTGATGGGTTGCCAACATCAACTGATGTCAGTGAAGGAAAATTGTGAAAATTGACCAGGCCTTGAGTTCTCTAAATGGTGGTATTAGATATGAATTGTTTTTTAAATACAAAAATATATTTAGTTCTTTTTTTTTAACCCAACTAAATACTTTTGAATTCCGTACAACCGTTAGAAAAGGTGACTACCATTTAGTTTAGTTCAAAGTATAAACATTTGTTTGGCATTATCTATTATTTTTAATTTAATTAAATGTGTTTGGATATTGTTCGTTGGTTGGTTTGTTCGTTGCCTGCGTGTTCAAGTGGCGTGTAAAGTAATTTACCAACCCGCAAACTTTTCGTGGCCGCTTAATTTTTAGCGCAAAACAAATAAGCAATTGCCAAAGGCAGAAAGCAGAAACGAAAAACTGCGGACCAAAAGTCCTTCAGAATGAGCTGAGCGGAGTAGAGTTTCAGCCAGGTTAGTTAGGTGAAAGAAAAAGTTTCAGCCTGCCCATTACTTTCACTTTTTCAGCTTTTCAGCTGTTCTCGTGTTCGCCACTGCAATATTTTTGCCGTTGTCTAAGCCAACGTGAGGCTTCACCTTAGGTGTGTCTACAGTCTGTATATACGAGTATATTATATATATACATATATAATATATATATATATATATATTTATATATGTGTTTTAGATATGTGTGTTCGAGTGGTAGTGCGCGGACTCGTCCTTCAATAATTCTGCCGTTAGATTTTTTTCATCAAATGCCGTTCAAGTGTTTTATAAACCTTGTGTATGACTTACAACTTTAAAAACTTTTAATTCAAGTAAATTGAGTGCTAAAAATGTTTGGCGAGTCAATTTTATAAAATATTGTTTAAGTACAGCTTAGATGTTAGTTTTATCTTAGTTAGATTTCGTTTAAGAAAAGACTTATTTGGAAGGTAGAATTTTCGCATTATATCCGTTTTTACTTTGTACCCTTATCATAAGAACTGAAATGTTAGTTAAAAGATATAAAACCCGTTAGGTTTTTGTTCAACATTTTTACTGGCTGCCATTTTGTGAGTGTATGCGTGAGAAGGAGCAAAAAGGTAGCTTTTATGTGAGGTGAGCTATGGAAACTATAAAAAAGTCCTACAACTCGGTTTGGAGTCGTAAATTGTTGATGTTGCTGTTGCCATTTGTTGGTAGTTTTTCCTGCCGGTTGATTGTTGTTGTTTTCGGCCATGCAGTTTGACTTGTAATGAATATAAAACTGCCTTTTAACTGCCTTGCCTGAAATCCTACCTCTTCAGTCACCGGCTCAGTTTTTATGCTTGTCCGAGAGTATTTCGAATTCTTTTTCCTAAATTGTTTTATGAGCTCTATCCAGAGGCTTTTTCCCTGGCAAATAGTCCTTCCTCAACGAGAAACTTGTTGAGGCAAAGTCATATCAAACAATTGAATTGGGAAAAAACTGAAAGATTTTGGCACGCCATAAAACTTGTGAATAATTTTTGTAAATCTATTTTTCGTTCTCTGCTTTGAATAGAAAAGATTTCGACATTTCACTTTGGCGATTTTTTGCTCCAGTTCCTGTTTGGCAAGTCGCGTCGTTTTCTTTCGCCAAAGCAACCAGTGTTTTATGTGAGATAAGCAGCTTGACCGTGGGTACTGCCAGTTATAGGAAGTGGGCGGTGAGCAGTGGGCGTTGGGAGCTAGATGGGTGTATGGAGCAGGATGAGCAGGACATCGATGGCCCGACATTCAAGGCACAAGGACAGGCGCAAGTCAGAGCCATGGATATTCAGGCGACGGCACGTACGTCGCAGAAGCGTGCACAGCGAGATGATAATTTCGTTGAATACCCAAGTCATCCTCGACTATATTCCTCTACATAAGGCCAGGAACGAGTGAGAAGAAAGGCTGAGAGGTGTTCGGGGACTTAGGGAGTGCTAAGTGTTGAGCTGATATGCAAAACAGCTATATGTACAGCTCTGGATAAATCCAAACGAAACCAAACCACATTCTGTTTAGGTATATCTATAGTTATACTGCTGAAAGGAAAGTCATTTTAGAGAAATGAAATACGAGACCACAAATTCCATTTACAAACTGTGAAACGATTTAAATTTGAATATTTAAGTGGAAAATAGTTTAAGGGCAAACACCAAGTATTTGATAACTTTCTATTGACATGAGATAAACTCACATTTGTCAAGACCGCATTTGCTTGTAACCCACATTTTGAGCAGTCATTTGGTCTCCATTATAGGCTCATTGACAGACACTAAGCTGAAAGCATCAAATTAGTCAACTTGATGGGCTGGATGGCTGTATATCTTATGTACATATTATATATTCCTTTCTGTATGCCAAACAAGACAATAACTTCTGGCTTTAATGAGAGTGGCCAATGCCAAAGCTAAAGGCCAACGTGAATTTCTTTCAAAGTCGTTTAATGGGCGTGGGAGTCGCGCAAGGATGTGGCGCTAAGGAGTAGCCACATATGGATGGGGGTGTGAGTTTGCGTTTGTGAGTACGTAGTGTTTTGGCCAGGCCAACGCCTGAATGTCTCAGCGTGAAGTGAAATCTTTTAAAAAGCCTTGAAGTTGTCCGCTGCCAAGTTTTCGACAAGCCAGCTCCAAAAGTTCAAGTTAAGTGCAGCGAGCAATAGCAACAGCATACCAGCAGCTCAAAAACATGGCCAACAAACGACGACTTTGGACCTACTATATATACTTCCCAACTGTTGTTGTTATAAACAAGCCAGGAACTGGCCAAGTTGGCAACTCTCCGGACGCTCCTGCGCGCGCATATTCATTATAGAGAGCCAGAAAACCAGAGAGACTTTAGTTTAGAGAGAGTTTTCTTCCCACAGGACCTAAGGACGCAGCTGCTTGGCATCCAGTGGCCACCCATGTCCTTTAGTATACAAAACGCCAGCGAGCAAAGCGTTTGCCATACGGTCTGAAAAAAACCATTAGAAAACAGCGACAACTGACAGTGAAGGCAGGCAACAGTAACAGCGCCAAAAGTTCGCGTCAAATGAAGTGAAAAGTGAAAGTTGCAAACTTGTGCGAAATTACTCCCCCAGATTTTACCCAGGTGGCCCAGTCGGTCGGCCGCACGTGGCGTATGTGCGATATTTCCCAATGAGATTGAATTAAACGCGTTTGTCTTCATTCGGCCTGAAGGACTCCCTGGAGCATCCTCTCCCGTTGGCCATAACAAATGTTTCATGCCTCAACATACTGTTCTGTAGGTTGAAATGGGTTGCGATCACGTTATCTGATTGGGAAATAAAGAATTTTGTGGCTAATTCTTTAAGTTATAAGTAGCTACCGATTGATGAAAACTATCATTAGGACTAATTTTTAGTAGAGAATAACTACCAAGTTGTAAAAGGAAAGCAAATTTTTAAAATTTTCGTGCGGAATACTCACTGGAATGAAAAACTTTAATAAATTTTTGCTGTCCACTATTTGGAAGATATTCTAAATTTATTGTTTATTTCTTCACCATTTGTATAATTTTTGTTTTAAAGACAATATGTCCAAGGTTGGAAGCTACATTAGGCTAAGAAAATTTTACAACGAAAACACACAAACTGTGTGTCCAGGGGAAGAGCTAGCCATAAGCAATGGGGTTTTCCTTGTTGTTTTTCCTCAACGAGCAATCATTGTATTTCCTTTCAGTTTGAGTTGGTGCTTCCGTTTTATGTTTATTAACCTCTTGGTTTTTTGGCCAGCAAATGTTTGATCAACTAACTTTAACTGAAGTTCTTCTTTGGTTTTTCATATATTTTATGGAAATTGCTACAGGCAAAGTTTGGCAGCCATGAAAACCTCTGACTTTGATAATAAACTGCGCGTATAAACTGCAAAGGGAAATGAGCAAACAAGGAAAAGTCATTGTGAAACTGTGAAAGTGTAATCAAATAAATTCTCTCGCACAATAATCCGAAAAGAAGAATAAAGGTCAGGCGTAGAAAATGTGCATAAAAACCTGCGACGGCATCAAATTCGATGACAATATAGACGGAGGTCATGAAGGTGGAAAGTATAACGTCATCCGTACAGCCAGTTCCGGCTACGAGCACTTCCAACTTCAACTGCAGTTGCAGGCCAAGCTAAACAAACAAAAGCACAAAGGCTCCAAATTGCCCAACTTTAAGATTCTAATGTGCTGTTGCTACTTCATAATCATAGTCTTGATGATATAAAAACTACAAGCATAAACTACCATCCACTGAAACTAAAATTCCAACCAAAAATGCTTCAATTATATAGATAAATGCTTAAGCATATTGAAACAACAAAATGTACCAGAAATTAACATTCAACTAAACTCATAAACCAGGTAAAAATTATTGTTGCCTACTTTCGGGTGTGAATAGTTATTAAGTTCTTACCTAAACAAATTTAAACAAATAATCAGTTTAACATAGAAATATATTTATTTTCTCTCTATTTTAATTGTATAGCTTTTATAATTGATCCAAAGGTGGGAAAAAATATACAAATGTGAAGTATTTCGTTTATTTTTAAATTTATAAATATTTTCTGGTAGATTAAATAAAATCGATTTTGAAAAAGGGGGCCTACCATCAATAAACCATAACTGAGACCGCTTTGGCCTAATCAAGTAAGCAAGGTCATCTAAGAATAGAGCAGAGTTATAAAATTCTCGACTTGTTGGCTTGGTCTTTAGCCGCCATCTTTTCTACTTATCGAATTATATCAATTGGTGTTTTATGGGCCCGTTTGGTTTATTGAAATTAGTGCTAAATTGATTTATACCACAATATGTTACCGCCGTCAATACACGAATTACGCATACGTTTGGCTCTTTGTTCATGTCCAGGCTTTGTTTGTTTGGCTTGTCCCCGCTGATTACTCATACGACGCGTGGCACATTTCATGAAAATTGATTTTACACTGCGACAAAGCTCAAAGTACACACACATTTCCATCCCGCATGTGTCGGTTTGAGTATGTGGTATTTGTTTTTGTTTTTATTCTGATTTTCAATTCACATTGCTGACCTACATTTTCAGTTTGCGTGGGTGAGTCTCTGGTATTTTTATTATTGTTGGTTTTTGGGGCCACAGGTTTCTGGAAAAAAAATAAGAGAAAAGCCAGCCAGGTCCATAATTTATTCGTTTACTGCCAAGAAATTAATTAATCCTGGGAGCCACAATTTTTAAATATTTCCAATGAATATTTTAAAATGCGTTTAAAGTTTGACGAGAATCTGAATGGTTCACAAATAATTCATCACGTTTGGATTTGCAGAATTTGAAGCTTTTCAGTTAGATGCACAAATATTTACAGCAAACGTTGAAAGACCATTTAATCCATATTAAGTATGAAATACCTAGCAGGAATTGAAAAGTAGGAAACAGAAGGAAAACTTGTAGGACCGAAAGCACCTTCAACTGGGAAAGGTAATTTCACTTTAAATGATTTTCTTTTACTTTTATACTTTCGTATGGTCGTAAGCAACGTATTTACAGCAGGGGCAACTCGTAAATGGAGGCAGTCGTTATTGTGCTGATATTGTCAGCTTTGAATTTATTTTTATATTATCGGACTTTATGGCAACCGTAAACATGCAGTTCGTGTGCTTTCTTTGGCTTAACCATTTTTACTCGACTTTTAAATCCTTGAAGAAACATGCCTTATCCTGGTTTTTCTTTTTCTGCTAGAATTTTTTATACATTTTTCAATGGCTTTTTCCAAGCGAAATTTATTTCACATTTCTGAATACGCCTGGAACGTGCATTAAATGCCAAAAAATAGGATCTCAATCTTGGTTTTGGACAGCCTTTGGCACATCTGCTCCCACACATGAAGCAAAAAGGAAACAAAAGTATTAACAAAACGGGGCGACCCTTTCTGGACACAAAGCCACATTAACAGCAAACTCACATGTGGAAATAACGTGTAGGGAAATTGTTTTCATTTCGCCAGCTCTCAAGTAGTCGTAAATAAAGGACTTCTGCTTCTCCAAACCTCCAAAAGCGGATGAGATTTATCTACGTGCTGTAAATAAGTTAGAGATGATTATATGGAAAAAGAGTTTTATATATGTTTTTGTTTCCATTCTTAAATTTATATAATCTACTGATTTTTGTTGTTATTGTAGTCTATATACACTTTTTTTCAAGATTGGTTAGGTTCACAAAAGCTTTTACCTTAGCTTATAGATAAAACAGCTTTTGTATTCCAAATAGATATACTTTTTCGATTCCCTACCACTGTGCAACACGAAACATTTATAATGCTCGGACAAACTCATATGAACCGATATATAGTTTTTGTCATTTGTATGCGTAGCTAAACCCTTTATTATCCTTTATGTGTTTTCATACCAATTCACATACACACACCATACCAACTAAGCATAACCTTTCAAAATGTTGTAGCTTGTGTCTAGCCATTGTGCAATCAAATTGTTCGGTGGGCGTTGCTTTTGGGTTAGCGCCGCTTACGCATGCATTTACAACAAATTATACCGAGAGAATTGTTATTAATGCTTTTGGCAAGGTCACGGAATGGCTTTTTCGGAAATTAGATAAAGGGTTATAGTACTAGGGGTGGGCGTGTTCGAGTATGTGACTAAAATATTAACAAGTTTTCTGTAACTCCCAAAATGTAATTTGTTTTTCCTTTTTCTACTTTCAGTTCTCATTCGATTGGTGTCTATAATATAAACCATCTGTTATTACATACGCGTGTGTTACTAAAAATCAAATGAATTAAATACATATGTATAGTTAAATATTTTCAAATCTAGCTAAAAGGAATATATAAGCTAATGTTTTTGTGTCTGTGCAAAGTGCCATTGTTTATCCATAATCATTGAAAAGCATATGTTTAACTGCAAAGCATAAAAATAGTTAAAATAACCTGCAGCAGCATCAATACTCGGATATGAAATCGACGAATGGCTCCAGAAAGTGCTATAATTTATGAAAGCAATACAATCGTAAAGTGAGTATAACTATTTGAATACTTTCAGTAACTCAAAGTCATAGTATCATAAACGTTTATAGAAATTCCAATGAGGATTTAACTATATTATATTAATATTATAATATCTTTAAAGATTAATTGTAGTAAACAGTAGAGATTATAGGTAAATTCCCTTAGTTTTTTTTTAGCAATATCTATTCTATAGTTATATACGTATGCTCCATTGAAATTATAGTAAATCATTCCAAATAAGCTGTATATCCCTTAGCTAAACAAGAGCTGGCAAGTTGTCAAATATCATCAAAGTAGTGTTTAACCACTTTGTTAACTAGTCGTATGCGTAATGTGGATTTGTAACATCGACAGACTCGGCTAAAAATGTTTAACAAGCAACAATATTGAATGGCAAAGTAAATTTGTGGAATATGTTGACAGACATGCGAGAATTGTCCCAGGGCAGGGCAAACACAATGTTTCAAACAGGCAATCAGGGCAATGGAACCATTTCTGGGATTTTGTGTGCTTTTGTCCTTTCCAGTTTGTCCACTGTCAATAGCAAATGCAATTTTAAACAGATCCTGGTAATTGTTTTATGGCTCTCGAAGGAGTCACAAACAAATCAAACTCAAGCCCAGAAAAGAAAGGAAAACAAAACAACTCAGACTTTAGTCGTAAGATTTATGTGAATGCCTCGACGAACAGAGCGGACATTATAAAGTCGTAAAGAAAGACGCTCACTTGGCAATTTGGCTTATCAAAAAGCCAATAAATAATAAGCCAAAAGAGCTCGTTGCGCGGTACATGAAAAGTAGATCAAGATTATGTGAGGGAAAACTTGTTTTGTGTTTTACATGTCGATGAAACGAACGTGCTATTGGTACAGGACATGTTGACACATTTTATGGTTTATTTCTTGGCAGCATAAAAAATTCATCTAATTGGCAAAGTCTGCATATTTGATTCCACTAATGGAGGCCTGTCAATTTGGGTCATGAAAAAGGTATTGGCATTCGGGGTGACAGCCTGTGATTATAATATCTCAAATTCCATTGATTTTCCACACAGTTTTAAAGTGTTCGTCGTTCGTTGACGAGGTCAAGAGGTCAAGTTGTCACCAAAAATGCCAAACTCAATGGCATTTATACACAATATTACGTCTGCGAGTGTAACAAGGTCGAGGTCTCTCAGCCATTCGGAATACTCACCAAACTTGACTGACGGAGACCAAGTTTGCCTTTGTCAGAGAAGTGCGTTAATTAAGTAATTTGCCAGGTCACGCTCACCTATCCTTAGTAGAATAGAACACACCTTTAATGACCGCCCCGGCTCGGCAAAAATCGATTTGCGTTCTCTTTTCCCGTATTCATTGTGAAGCCACGAAATAAACGTGGTCTTCTCTTAAAATCGATGGTATTTTGGGCGCGTAATCATTCCACAAATGTTATAATAACGGATTAACAAGAAACTTCAGGGTATTAAATATGCCATAAATATTGATTTTAATAACAGCACTGGTTAATTATAAATATTTAAATAACAAAATATATATATAAAAGGAGCCTGTGAGGTAGAGTAGTTTCAGGTATCAGTTTTTCCAAGATTTAAGTTTGGTTTAAAATGTACATTTTAATTTATACATTTAGGTAGGAGCTCTGGCTTTTTATGCACTGCAAACTACGTTGCTGGTTAGCTTTGCCATAACAATTTGCAAAACCAATTAATTTGCATTGGTAATTCGAAATTTGAATGAATATAAAATGTGAAGAAAAGTTACCCGCTGTGGATGAAGGCCTTTTTCTGGCTTCGGTTCATTGCATTCATTTTGGGCTTCTCTCCGGACTGCCTTACCCCAGGACACACCTTTTGACCGTGTCAGCAGGGTGCATGGATAAATACCTTTGCGTTCTCCGTTCTTCGTTCTTTTCCGCTTTCACTTTTACAACCAACCAACGGTACATTCCGCATTTTCCATGACACATTTTCTTCTCCTTCATTTTCTACTCTTTTATTGCATTCTTCTTGCATTTCCACTTTGCCTAAAATGTTTTGCTTTAATTAAAATTGGCTTATGACTGAGAAGGTGACTTGCGGTTGATTTTGGCTTCTGGTTTTATTTCGGTGGAGCAGTCTCGAGCGTTTCTTGTACATAAATCAGATGCCACAGCCAGACACTCACGGCACACACATCGAGGACATCGAAAACGCTTACATAATTTGTTAGGCGCGTCCAAGTCGCAGCCACTAAAAGCAATTTGCTGTTAAAGTAAATACGAAATCGTATTTCATGCCATGGCCCGACAGCCGAAAGACATATGCAAATCATTACTGTAGTCCCTACTTAAGGACCTTTTCGCTGTACATATCCGTGTATGCACTTAGTTGAAATTTGTGTTGGTTAGCCCGACTTTGGTAGTATAATTTATAGCCTAAACGTTATTCTTGGCGTTAGTTTCTAGGAAAATAATGTAGTTGCGTGTTTACAAATTAGGTTTATATTTTAATTTTATACTTATTGCACATATATACACCATAAAATTTTATTTGCCAAATTTTTAATTTCTTTTTTTGATAAATAGCCAAAGTATTTAAATTTAAAATTCAGAAAGAAATGTAGTTTATTTTTACAGCTTAGTTTTCTTAAATGTTGTTGCCTAACTTTCGGCGCCCAGCTATTTGGAAAGTTTGCTTTCTGATTTAATTTTTAATGAACTGTACTTGGAACGTCTATTACGATTAAGAATACTTTCGATTTGAGCTGGTTGTTTTGCTGGTGCTGTCGCTCTCTTCCTACACTGCCAAAACTCACTGCCCAAGGCCGGAAACGGAAGTGTGCACATTGAAGAATGGCGCAAGGCGAAGACGCCAAGATCTTGAATGCGGTGAATGGGCCAAAGTAAGTAGTTGGCCTAGGGAATGTTGCCAACTTGCACAGGGCACAGAAAAGGCCACTTAAATACCTGCAAAAGTTTTTCGCGCTTCCGCCGGAAATTGCCGAGGGCGGGAATGGCAAGCAAAAAATAAGAAATAAAAGAGAGAGTTTGCAGTTTGCAGTTGATGGCTTTGTGGCTAAGTGTGTGTTCCATATCAAATCTTCTTCAAATGCACAGCGAGACAGCCAGGAAATGCTGAAGGAAATTCGTTTTCTTTTGAGACACGCGCAAAGAGGGGAAGATTTGGCTGGTAAAAACAAAAAAAAAAACAACAAACATAAGAAAGTACAGTAGAAAGGCCTTTGAGCGCCTGCTGCAAATATTGCACAAGTGCTTGCCACTCGTCGTGCTGCACAAATACAGTAAGCAAAACAGCAGCAACATCAGCAGCTCAGCGGGTGAAAAACAAAAGCAAAGGCAAAAGCAAGCTCGTTAAAATTACAAATAGAAGGCAAGTGGCAGAAAAGTGCGCTCAAGGACGCGTTGGCGTCTCCTGGCCCGTCCGCCACCCATCACCCGCCAGACCGCCAACCACCGCCCACCGCCTCCTTTTCTAATCTTCACATTGTGTGGCAGTCATGCGAAGCATTCAGGCAAGACGAGGCTGCATTTTGAACTTACTCGTATACTCAGAAACTTGCACCTCAATTACGAAATGTTATGCTTTCGCCCAAAACTGGAGTCCTGCATGCCCCATCGTCATACGCCCCTGATCCTGATTCTGAATCTGATTCTGGAGGGCGTGGCATGCGTGTTTACCCTTGCATTAGGCAGCACACAAAGTTTTCGTTTTGGGTAACTACCTTTTTGCCCGCTCTTGTTTGAACTGTTGCATTTCTGGTTTAGTTTGTTGATATGGTTTCTGGTTGGCATTTGAAGGTCACTCCTGCCACTGACAGGGCCTCATGGGGCGGTGGCAATTGGTTGTGTTTCTCCGGCAAGACCAATTTGAAAGTCAAGTCAGCTTTCGAATACCATCTAGCCAAGTCCGAGCCACGCAAGAGCCAAGAAAAAGTCAAATGTAAATTTACAGATATGGCAAAAAACTTGCCCGCTTACTGCGAACGTAAAGAAAAATGAAAGCAAGGCAGATCGATATGCCAAAAGAATTTAAAGCAGTTTTCTTAATAAAAGAATTGTGTTCCTGTAAAGTCTCAATTTAATCAACATTTAATTATTGATCTATCCAAAAATCGGTGAAATATTACTAGTTATTGAGATAAAGCTTAGGTTTTTCTTAATGTCAGCATTGGTTGACTAACAAATCAAAAGATATTGCTAATATATGTTTCAGCGATTTGATTAAAACTTTACAAATACCAATTACCTTTTAAAAGTTTTAAATTGAAAGCCTTGCAACTTCTGTGCCTTCACCACCACCGATAATTGTAGCCAACTTTTGTATTACTTCAGAACAAATTCCGCTGGCAATTCGCTCAATTAGGCAGCAAATTAACTGCAGCCAAACCACAAGACCCAACACCCATCGATCCCATTGGATCCAAGTTTTGGCTTGCCCCCAATCCGACCAGCAGACGCCGGGGATTTATGTCGACAAATTATGCACATTTATTTCAGCATAAAACCGAACGGCAAATTATGCAGTCGTAGTCGCAGGATAAACCCCAAGTCCCAACCCCAACCCGAATCCGATTGCGAATCCGGATCCGAAATGGAGCCAGAAGCGAGAATCGAGTGCAGCGAGGCCAAAGAGCACATAATAAACTTATAATGCGTGACAGGATGCGTGTCAGCGAGTGCAAAGTGGTGCCGAACCCGGTCGAGCCCTGCCGAAAGCCGTAAGTGGTTGCGCCTCATTTAGCACCCCATGCATCTTTGTTTCGCCGGCTCTTTGCCACAC